ATATAAACAAATTAAATGTTTCAGCTGGCTAAATAGATTGCTGACGACCCCACCGAGAATCGAACCAGCATCAGCTGAGGGGAAAGCAAAACTTAACTCAGACGATCTCACCACTAGACTGCCAAAGCCCATTCAAAAGTCTGTAATCCTGTTATACACCATGTCTGTTAGACCGGCTGTGGGCAGATATTCGCTGAAAGAAACCTTTTCATTTCGAGATATATTCAGTCTTTGTCATGTAGCAAGTTATATTTATCTTGTTTAATTGGAGCATAGAACATAGCATTAACGACTGTAAACTAGTAACAGCCGTAATTCATGTGGGTCAGGTCAGTTTGCATAAAGTTGAAAACAAAAACGGAAGTCAGTGGGCTAGGCTGAGTTTGCGTGAATGGGCGGGGCTGACTCTGGTGCAGCTCCACCTTATGATGCAGCTCCGCCTTTGTGGTTCTGCAGCGAGCACCCTCTCACAAAATGTCTTTTTGTTTCCCCAGTTAAACTACTAATCCCAATTTATACTACAACTGAAGAGTTCATTTGTAAAAATAGATACCTGTATATGTATATATATCCCTAACCCTTATATATATATATATATATATATATATATATATATATATATATATATATATATATGTGTGTGTGTGTGTGTGTGTGTGTGTATATAGATATATCTCCATCCATCCATTTTTATCCGGAGTCGGGTCGCGGGGGCAGTAGCCTAAGGCAAGAGGCCCAGACTTCCCTCTCTCCAGCCACATGGGCCAGCTCTTCCAGGGGAATCCCAAGGTGTTCCCTGGCCAGGTGAGATACATGGTTGCCCCACCGTGTCCTGGGTCTATCTTTAGGTCTCCCGGTTGGACGTGCCCGGAAAACCTCACCAGGGAGGCGTCCAGGAGACATCTTGACCAGATGCTCGAGCCACCTCAACTGGCTCCTCTCAATGTGGAGGAGCAGCTGGTCTATGCCAAGCCCCTCCCGAATGACCAAGCTTCTCACCCTATCTCTAAGGAAGAGCCCAGCCACTCTTCGGAGAAAACTCATTTCGACCACTTGTATCCGCAATCTCGTTCTTTCGGTCAATACCCAAAGCTCATGACCATAGGTAAGGGTAGGAACGTAGATCGACCGATAAATCGAGAACTTCACCTTCTGACTCAGCTCTCTCTTCACCACGACAGATCGGTACAACGTCCGCATCACTGCAGATGCAGCACCAATCCGCCTATCGATCTCACGCCCCAGTTTTCCCTCACTCATGAACAAGACCCTGAGATACTTAAACTCCTCCACTTGGGGCAGGACCTCATCCCTGACCCAGAGAAGGCATTCTACCCTTTTCCGAATCAAGACCATGGTCTTAGATTTAGAGGAGCTGATTCTCATCCCAGCTGCTTCACACTCGGCTGTGAACCGCTCCAGCGAAAGCTGAAGATCACATTCTGATGAAGCCAACAGGACCACATCATCTGCAAAAAGCAGAGACCTGATCCTCAGGCCACCAAAACGGATGCCCTCCACACCTTGGCTGCGCCTAGAAATCCTGTTCATTAAAGTAATGAACAGAATCAGTGACAAAAGGCAGCCTTGGCGGAGTCTAACTCTCACTGAGAACGAGCCAGACTTACTGCCGGCAATGCGGACCAAGCTCTGATACCGGTCATACAGGGACTTAACAGCCCGTATCAGAGGGCCTGGTACCCCATACTCCCGGAGTACCCCCCACAGGGCCCCCCGAGGGACCCGGTCAAACGCCTTCTCCAAATCCACAAAACACATGTAGACTGGTTGGGCAGATTCCCATGCACCCTCCAGGATCCCCCTAAGGGTCTAGAGCTGGTCCAGTGTTCCACGGCCAGGACAAAAACCACATTGCTCCTCCTGAATCTGAGGTTCAACAATCCAACAGACCCTACCAGGAAGGCTCAGGAGTGTGATCCCCCTGTAGTTGGAACACACCCTATGGTCCCCCTTTTTAAATAAGGGGACCACCACCCCGGTCTGCCAGTCCAGTGGGACTGCCCCCGATGTCCACGCGATATTGCAGAGCCGCGTCAGCCAGCACAGCCCCACAACATCCAGAGCCTTAAGGAACTCCGGGCGGATCTCATCCACCCCTGGAGCCTTGCCACAGAGGAGCTTTTTAACCACCTCAGTGACCTCAGCACCAGAGATTTGAGAGGCCAACCCAAAGTCCCCAGACTCTGCTTCCTCACTGGAAGTTGTGTCGGTGGAATTGAGGAGGTCTTCGAAGTATTCTGCCCACCAATTAACGTTCTGAGTAGAGGTCAGCAGCACACCATCCCTACTACAGATAGTGTTGGTAGCGCACTGCTTTCCCCCCTGAGGCGCTGGATGGTGGACCAGACTCTCCTCGACGCCGTACGGAAGTCTTGCTCCATGGTCTCACCGAACTCCTCCCATGCCCGGGTTTTTGCCTTGGCGACCACCCGAGCAGCGTTCTACTTGGACTGCCGGTACCCGTCAGCTGCCTCTGGAGTCCCACAGGCCAAAAAGACCTGATAGGACTCTTTCTTCAGCTTTACAGCATCCCTAACCGCCGGTGTCCATCAGCGGGTTTGGGAGTTGCCACCACGACAGGCACCGATGATCCTGCGTCCACAGGTTCGGTCGGCCACCTCAACAATGGAGGCACTAAACAGGGTCCATTCAGACTCAATGTCCCCCGCCTCCCCCGGAACATTTTGGAAGTTCTGTCGGAGGTGGGAATTGATAGCCTGGCCTGCCAGACTCCTCCTCTGTTTAATTCTGCACAGAGAAAGAGTCTGGGAACTCTCCTATTCAAATAACTCCACCCTGTGAGAATTATAACTGAGCCAATCAGCGCTGAGTATCGTACGTCACACACCACAACGCCGAGTTTGTCATAAACATGGTGACTGGAGGAGTTCGCTGCGGCTCTTTCCTTTGTTATAAATTTGAATGTTTTTAAAACCACAACAAGTAGAAGCGCTAAAAGCCTTTTTTCTAAACAAAGATGTTTGCACTGTCGCCAGACTCCATTTTTACTACAGCTAAAAAAACTACAGCGTCGCGGACGTCACACACAGCGATGCTCACTTTTACGGCCCCCAGCTCGTCTAGGAGATGATGGTTTGAGGGCGTAAAGAAAAATGTGTGTGTAAAACCAGACCAAACCAAGATTTACTCTCTTAGAGGAGTTTATTAACTAAAAACACTGCTTTATGCAGGCCAAGGAAAACTGAATACAAAACCGAAAGGATGTCCACACTGGGGAATTAATGATAATACAAAACACAAGGATCATCCAGGACTGGGCAAAGAACAATAATATTAATAAACACAAAACGCCGGGACTAAACCGGGAAACTAAGGGAATGAGTTAAACACAAAAAGCTCCACCAAAAGGGTGAGCTGAACTCTTTAACGAGTAATAATAAACACAAAAAGCTCCACCAAAAGGGTGAGCTGAACTCTTTACCGAGAATTCTAAAGAAGACGAAAGCGAGCTCTGAACTAGGAAGAATAACCAAACCACACAGGTTGCACAACGAGACTAAATAAGTCAGCTCTAGGAGGGAAAAGAGGAACACCAGCTTTAACACTCAGGCCTCTGCTAAGCTTCCCTCCTCGAATGACAGAGGGAGCTGGCTTTTAAAGGAAGCTCCCTGATCAGATAATGTGCGACACCTGGCTCAGCTGGAGCCAGGAGATCAGGAGGAGCACCGAGGCCATCTTGTGGCCACAAAACAGACAGCGTCTGTAACACCCTCCCCCTCAAAACAACAACTAAAAGTTATTTTTGTTGTTGCCACCAAAAACAAGAGTGCTCCCACTAACTAACTAGAAACAAAACAGCTAACTAACTAACTAAAATCCCTGGATCTCTGAAGGCGGGCTGATTAAACACAAAAATATCGCGCTGCGCTGATCCTCAGCGCTGCGGAGTGTCCCCGAGATGGTAGCTTGCGCTACCAACACTAGCCTTAAAGGGAGATCCTTACAGCTAAACCAAAACAAAACTACTTGGGAGCCTCAATCTGCGTGGCATCGGGATAGCGCGTCAGCCATCACGTTGTCCGTCCCCTTCTTGTGGCGGACCTCGATGTTGAACTCCTGGAGGAGGAGAGCCCATCTCATTAGGCGTTGATTTGAGTTGAACATGCGGTGGAGGAAGGTCAGCGGGTTGTGATCTGAGAAAACAACAGTGGTGAATTGGCTGCAGACATACACATGAAAATGTTGCAGGGACCAAATTAAAGCCAGAGTTTCCTTTTCTATTGTAGAGTAGTTGCGTTGTGACTGGTTGAACTTCTTGGAGAAATAGCAGACGGGGTGATCAAGTCCGTTAGCATCCTCTTGGAGAAGAACAGCTCCTGCTCCGACGTCAGAGGCGTCAACCTCGATTTTAAAGGGCCGGGACAGATCAGGAGCAGCCAGGATCGGTGCACAGCACAAGATTCCTAAGAAAAAGTAAAACCTGGGGACAGACTGGGGTTCAAGAAAAAGGAATATCAGTGACAGGAGTAGAGTTATCAGCAGCGAGTGCAAAACAAGGAGTTTGTCCATTTTCTGAGCGGCGACCAAAGCATCATAGCTGATTGGGAAGTTAACAGCAACCTGAGGCTTCATAACAGCAGTGGTATCTGCACCGGAGTTGTCGTCTGCCAGGAAAGGATGCAACACAGAGTCACGGAGAGTTATCTCCGGATCCTTTTTAGCTTGAGCTCTAGTTAGCACACAAGCAGGCAGAGGGGCTTCATCATGAACTTCGGGTTCTAAAATGAGTTCAGGCAGAGGTACGACCAAACCTCCAGCTGCATCATTTCCTAATATTAAATCAACTCCCTTTGTAGGGAGTTCGTCCAACACACCAACCAGAAAATCACCCGAGACTAAGGGACAGGTCAATTTAATGTGGTGCATTTCGGCCGAGACACCTCCCATCTCGATGCCTTGCAGCATCACCGAATAGCCGGCTTGGCTATCTTCAGAAAAGGGCAGCAAACTTCTTTTTATTAAAGTCAGGGAAGCTCCTGTGTCTCTCAAGATAACAACTTCTTTTTCAGCTTCAGAACCCGGAAGAGACACAAAACCCTCCGAAAGGAATGGCTTAAAGCAGGGACTGGGCTTTTCAGCGTGAGTTTTGTTACAGCAAGCTATTTCAGGTCGGTCCTTATTTGGAGAACTTCCGGTTCTACGGTTCTTTAGTTTCAGAGAATAACAATCACGGATGACGTGGCCACGTTTATGGCAGTAGAAACATTCGGGTTTTTCAGAATTCGAGGACGGAGTTAATCTTACACTGGGTCCGAATACACGGTTCGCGTCAGTACGAGTCTCTCTGACCCGGTGAGTGAGAGAGAACTCATCGGCGAGGAGAGCAGCTTCAGAGAAAGAATTCACTTTCTGTTCGTTCAAATAAAGAACCAGTTTTTCAGGCAGATGTCGTTTGAACTCTTCTATTAAAATGAGCTCCTTTAGATCAGACAAAGTGGAAATATGCGAAGCAGAACACCATTTCTCAAACAACACAGACTTCATGTGAGCATACTCAACATAGGACTGATTTAACTTAGGTTTCTCGAATCTGAAGCGCTGTCTGTAGGCTTCAGGAACTAGTTCATACGCTGTGAGTACGGCTGACTTTACCTTGTCGTAATCTGCACCGTCTGTTGGAGACAGAGCGGATACCACCTGAAGGGCCTTACCTGTTAACCTGCAAGTCAAGAGGAGAGGCCAGACCTCGCGAGGCCACTGCAGTGTCGCAGCGATCCGCTCAAAGGCAAGGAAGTAGCCGTCCACTTCTGTCTCCCGGAACTGGGGCAGCAGCGTAATGCATTTGCTGACATCAAACGGTGTCGTTTGCAACGGCGAACTGGCGGGTGTCACTGGATCTGGGCGAAACCCCGCACGGGAGGTAGACGAGTCATCAGGTTCTTGAGAAGAAGTGCAAGCAGCGTCAGGAACGGACTTTTTGTTGCGTAGCTCGATCTCGAGCATCTTAAGCTGAGTTTCAGCGTCCAGTCTTTTTAAATCCATTTCATGGCGTAACTGCCGTTCGAGAGCGCGTTCATCAGCCTCCATGCGCAGGCGAGCGAGCCGGAGCTTCAGGCGAGCTCCACTGAGTGGAGAAGTCGAAGGACTCAGATCTGGTGACGATGAGCCGGAAGAGGATTCTTTTGGCTTGACCTCTTTTTCTGGAGCCACCGGAGGCGATGAAGGGCGTGAGCCGGTCTCAGGACGAGGCGGAAGGATCTCGTGAGCCTCCAAATAGTCCACAACGAACTTCCGTAGAGCGTCTTTCGGGAGCGATTTCGGGACAACCAGATCGAAGTGGGCAGCTACTTCCTGCAGGTCGGCTTTTCTGCAACGCTCCAGCAGCCGGCGCGAGGGAGCCTCCACAAAAGCCCGCAAGTCAAAGGTTGCCATGGTGACGTCCGCTCCACCTCCAAGAGAGGAAACAAGGTTAGTCCAGAAACACAAAAAGATGGTAAACCGGGAATAAATGTACAATATGACAAAAATATCCCGGACGAGCCCCCACTCTTTTACGGCCCCCAGCTCGTCTAGGAGATGATGGTTTGAGGGCGTAAAGAAAAATGTGTGTGTAAAACCAGACCAAACCAAGATTTACTCTCTTGAGTTTATTAACTAAAAACACTGCTTTATGCAGGCCAAGGAAAACTGAATACAAAACCGAAAGGATGTCCACACTGGGGAATTAATGATAATACAAAACACAAGGATCATCCAGGACTGGGCAAAGAACAATAATATTAATAAACACAAAACGCCGGGACTAAACCGGGAAACTAAGGGAATGAGTTAAACACAAAAAGCTCCACCAAAAGGGTGAGCTGAACTCTTTAACCAGTAATAATAAACACAAAAAGCTCCACCAAAAGGGTGAGCTGAACTCTTTACCGAGAATTCTAAAGAAGACGAAAGCGAGCTCTGAACTAGGACGAATAACCAAACCACACAGGTTGCACAACGAGACTAAATAAGTCAGCTCTAGGAGGGAAAAGAGGAACACCAGCTTTAACACTCAGGCCTCTGCTAAGCTTCCCTCCTCGAATGACAGAGGGAGCTGGCTTTTAAAGGAAGCTCCCTGATCAGATAATGTGCGACACCTGGCTCAGCTGGAGCCAGGAGATCAGGAGGAGCACCGAGGCCATCTTGTGGCCACAAAACAGACAGCGTCTGTAACACTCACTTTCTCATAAACAACGAAGACAGCGGCGGAGTTCGCTGCAGCTCTTTCCTCTGTTCTAAATGACTCAGATGTCTTTAAAACCACAAGTAGAAGCGCTAAAAGTATTTCTTCTGAAAAAATAAAAGATGTTTGCGCCATTGCAAGACGCTATTTTTTTTTTACTACAACTAGAAGTCTACCGCGTCATGCGGTACAGTCGGGGTTTCCTTCTTTTTTCTGATTGGTCATTTTTGAGCTTCCTAGTACCGCCCCTCAAGTGCCTCTCTGCCTGTGAGTTACCAGACTCATTCTCTGTGCAGAATTAAACAGAGGACGAGTCTGGCACGCCAGGCTAGGGAATTGAAGCTCCTGACAGGAGACTCTGCCAGACGTTCCCAGCAGACCCTCGCGATACATTTGGGCCTGCCTGGTCTGACCGGCATCCTCCCCCACCATCTGAGCCAACTCACCACCAGGTAGTGGTCAGTTGACAGCTCCGCCCCTCTCTTCACCCAAGTGTCCAAGACATGCGGCCGCTGGTTAGATGAAACAACAACAAAGTCGATCATCGAGCTGCGGCCTAAGGTGTCCTGGTGCCAAGAGCGCATATGGACACCTTTATGTCTGAACATGGTGTTCATTATGGAGAATCCATGACTGGCACAAAAGACCAATAACAAAACACCACTCAAATTCAGATCAGGGGGGCCGTTCCTCCCAACCACACCTCTCCAAGTCTCACTGTCGTTGCCCATGTGAGCGTTAAAGTCCCTCAGCAGAACGAGGGAGTCACCGGAAGGAGCGCTTTCCAGCACCCCCTCCAAGGTCTCCAAAAAGGATGGGTAGTCTGAACTGTAGTTTGGTGCATAAGCACAGACCATAGTCAGAACCCATCCCCCCACACGTAGGCGGAGGGAGGCTACCCTCTCATTCACTGAGGTGAACCTCAACGCACAGGCACCAAGATGGGGGGCAACTAGTATGCCTACCCCTGCTCGGCACCTCTCAGTGGGAGCAACTCCAGAGTGGTAGAAAGTCCAACCCCTCTCAAGGAAAGTGGTTCCAGAGCCAGAGCCATGCGTTGAGGTGAGTTTGACTATATCTAGTCAGAACCTCTCAACCTCACACACCAACTCAGGCTCCTTCCCCACCAGAGAGGTGACATTCCATGTGCCAAGAGCCAGCTTCTGTAGCCGAGGATCAGACCGCCAAGGTCCCCGCCCTCGACTACCACCCGACCCCTTTGGCCCCTCCCACGAGTGGTGAGCCCATGGGAAGGGGGACCCACGTTTCCTCTTCAGGCTGTGCCCGGCCGGGCTCCAGAGGGGGGCCCCGGTGACCCATGTCCGGGCAAGGGAACACGGTTTCCATTTATAATTCATCATAAGAGGTCTTCGGGCTGCTCTTTGTCTGATCCCTCACCTAGGACCTGTTTGCCATGGGTGACCCTACCAGAGGCAGAAAGCCTCAGACAACTTAGCTCCTAGGATCATTGGGACACTCAAACCCCTCCACCACGGTAAGGTGGCAGCCGGGAGATTATATATATATATATATATATATATATATATATATATATATATATATATATATATATATATATATATATATATATATATATATATATATATATGTATAATCTTTGTATAATTTACTTTGGTTGATATAAGTCAAAAAAGTTTTTTTTTTTTACGTTTTTGCAGATTAACTCTTCAGCCATAGCTGCCTTTCTTGTAGAACAAACTCCTGACCTTTGACCCTTCAGTAATAATATTTTTAGTATTAGTCATTATGTTTGCACTGCTCGTGTGTTCTGCAACTTGAAATATCTGAAATGGTCATTCTTTAGCTGTGACTTCTCTGACCATCCCAAATGTCTCCAGACGCGTGGGTCCTCCTAGCCTACACATCCAGAGATGCCTCCACCAGATGGCCCTTTTTCCCCCCTCCTTTCGACCCGTGATGGAATGAAAAGATTAGCTAATTAAAACGAGTCCCATATCCATGTGAAAGGGCCATGAGGGTCCTCGGGGAGAGGAGTTGCCTGCAAATCAATTCCTGTGTCCGGTTCAGTAACACATCATTCCAAACCATAAAACCTTTTATTTTCACAGCACACACACACACACACACACACACACTCACAAACAAACACACACACTCACTAAAAATCAAAAGTCGTGACAGAAACAGGTAAACAAACTTGTGGTTTTGTGATGTTTGGAGAGAGTTTCTGAGTTATGCAAAACAACTGGGTTGATCACATTGAGAAGAATTAGGCTGACCTCATGTGACCCTTTCATAACCCTCTCTTCTCCTTAGGGAGGAAACAGAAATCTGGTAACTTGTACGTGGTTCCAGTAACATTTACATGCAGGAGTTGAACACTGATGCTTTTAGCTAAATTTGTAACTTCTAATCACAACGCTGAGCTCTTCATGGCCTCTCTGGGAACAGAACCACGAATGTGTTCTCAGAAGGAACTCCTAAACAGATTTTTGTCTGCATGCAAAATGAAAAGATTCATTTTAAGCTAAAATGTAAAATGAATGAAGTAGTGTACTGTACACAGCACTTTGGGCCACCATGACTGTTGGTGTAAAAGTGCTCTACAAATAGATAAATGATGATGATGAAGTATGTTCTGGTACGTTTGGAGCTCGGTAGGCGGCAGGTGTAAAGGTTCAGGGCCACAGCGGTGAGAGGCTGCACCAGGAGCTGTTTAGGGCTGGTCCAACGTCTGCGTGCGTCTCAGTTTGTCCCTGACTCGGACAAACTCAGGGATCTTCTGTTGGTTCTCCCGCTGCCTTATCTCCTCTTGCTCATACTAAAACCATAACGGGCAAAATTTGAGAATTTATGTCAATTTTTTGGTAAAAAAAATTCAAACTTCTGTGAACTGAAGGGGATAAAGAATTGGCATGACTTTTTGTAAAGAACATCAACACGTGTTTGTGTGTGCCCCTGACCTCTTTCAGCTTCTGCTGCCTCTTAAGGAGCTCCGTCTCCAGATCCGAAGGCCGTCTTCGAGCCATCTCCTCCTCCCTGTGCAGCTCCAGCCTGCGCTGCTCCAGAACTCGCTTCAGCTCTGGTTTCTCTTCCAGCACCAGACCTCTGAGCAGTCAGAGCCACAGTCAGGCTCCACAAGAGCATCTATCAAGGCCCAGCTTCAGTGTCAGACATAAAGTCAGATGTGTTTTGATGTTTGAACTACCGTTTGTGGCTAAGCAGCAGCTCCCGATGCAGATTCTGGTAGCTAGGTATCTCTGCCGAGGAACCGTTGAGTTTCCTGGGTTGACCGATTTCTGCACTGCTGCAGTCTCCTGCTGGGAAATGAGACAGGGGTAGATGGCCTATGTTCTGACAGAGCACCATACATATCAGAGCAGCATGCATGCAGGTTATGTACATGTGCATGAATCCATGTTGTGTTCTGAGGAGCCGTCAGTTCAGCATACAGACAGCAAAGTACGAGGAAAGCGTTTGTCAATTGTGTTCATAATGTTTTACCATCCACAAAAATGAAATGATGAATTTGTATTACAAATTTTTATTTTACCACCTTCTAATTCAAATTTTTGTAATTTTTTTTAAAGAAAATAAAGCTTTACAAAATATCAGATTGACAAGTCCAGGTATCATACAGTTCTTAAAAATTGTATGATGATCTGACTGGTAAATGTCCCATCGGGGTGTCATTGGGTTGCTAAAACAAAGTGTGTGATGATCTGAACGGTAAAACCACTCATCAGAGTATCATATGGTTATTCTAAACAAAGGGTAAACTGGCCCATCAAAGTGTCCTACATCTTAAAAAGGTATAATCTGACAGCGTCAGACAGAATTGTGCTGTCAGATTGGCATATGCTGTAAAATGTTTATGTCAGTCTGACAATGTATGGTGATTAGAAAGAACACTCTACAGGATCTAATCATCCAAAACAATTCAAAGCTAATAAATTAGGTAGAAAACAAATAAGTTTAACCAGTGAAACAGTGTTTTCTAAGGGAATAGAGTTGATTATATCACATTAAAGTCAATAAACACACTTTATTGATCAATAGATGATAGAACTGGGGGTTTAAATACCATCTTTGATTTCCTTGACTGCTCAAATGCACAACACAAACAGAAGTTAGTAGTTCTATCAAACGTCCACACCATCATTATCTATGGGTTCGTTCTGTCTCTGCATTATTGTACCTTTTTTGTTTGGTCGATATCCTGGTTTCTGTGAAATTATTAGAAAGAGACAGAAAAACAAAGTGATAAATGATTTGACAGCTTGAACATGCATCAGATGAATCAGAATGAGTTGAATCACCTCCGTTTTGCTCATCTCTGACGAAGGTTATATTTAGACAAAGGCTAAAAGTGACAGTGCCTGACGTGCTGCTTAAGCAGGCGCTCCGTGTTTACAAAGGTGACATAACAGCTCTGACACGCCTGACTGCGGTTGTCTTTGGCAGAACAACGCAAGGTTATAATTCAACAAAATTCATTGACATTGCTGGTAAGTTTTACTCTGAACAAAAACAACACTCGAGTAAAAACTTGATATCTTTCTGTCGCGCAAATGGAGTCCATTACAGCTCTGGCTGAAACCAGATAACCTGGAGGAAAGGATCGCACAAAGGCGGCAGCAGATGGTACATGGCCAAAGGTGAGGCAGCTTTCTCTGTCCAAAAAAAAAAAAAATCCAATGGATGAGCATTAAGATCCCTGGGCTTTGTCCCTGGGGATTGTTGCCTTTTCACTGTTTCTGCCAGAGACGCACGGTAAGCTTCCACATCCCGTCCCTGGCCAGACTCCTGCCTGATGGAAACTTGAGCCGTCAGGTTGCCTGATCTGATCGAAGCATTGTTCCAGTCAAGACCTGCAGGACTCAGATGGATTACAGGCAAATATCTAATGTTGTATGTGGTGCAGATGCTCTCAGGGATGGCTTGTAGCTATTTTAATGATGAATATGAGAGACCATGACACATTCCAGCAGGTTGTTACATTGGTATCAATTTCTATACAAAAATATCATCGGTAGAACATCGTCATATCTTCGCTCATTACATATCACTTCCAGCAACCGGTGCAATTTATGATCCAATAGCTTAATCTCTATGGTTATTTCTAAAGCTCGCACCTCCTTTGGTTGCTCCTCATTCCAGTTTGCTGCTTCCAACGACTGGAGTGAGCTGCAAAAGTCACTAAAGCTCACTACCTACATTCCTTTATCTACCTTCAATAATCCATTGCAATCAATAGTTTCTGATCAATGTGCTTCTGAGTAGTTAAAGATTAAGTAAGGTTAACTAAATAAATAAAGCATTAGAAAAGGTGTGTTTGTTACTGAGATTTGCACAAACACTGATATTACAGTAGAAGCAGTTTCTAAACTCTACATGATGACTATCACACCTGCAACACGAAGCTCCACCAGTACCTGAGTGGTTAAAAACATCAAGGAAGCATTTAAAAGTTTCATTTTTATGAGTCAAGCAACATATGAGTTTTAAAGAGAGACTTAAGCAAACTTTCCTGGCATCTGCACAAAACACAATTACATAAAGTTACAGACTTTGCACAAACGTTACCATAAACGGATCAAAAGTTAACTAAACAATCTAATAAAATGTGTAGGAACTCACTTTTTTCACAGATGACCCCTCCATAGCAGGATGGTGGAGGTCCACTGCTTCTGTCCACTATCCGTGTTTCTGTTTTATTCCATTGATGAAATCAGGTGTCCTCACTCATCATACTGTTGTTGACGGGGAACCTTGCAGACTCGGTGTACTGTAGCAGCAGTCATCAGTGGTTGTAGACAGTGAAATCTCATTATGCCATTCAAGATTACCTCACAACCCCCACAGGACACAGGATGCTAGATTAGTTAATTACCACAGACGCAAATACCACTTAAAACCAACGAAGCATGTAGATGACTGCTCTCCCAACAAACTCAGTCACCAACAAAAAAAGTGTTTGTGTGAATTATCTATTTGAGTACCGGTATTCCCTAAAAAATAAAGTTCTTTAAACTAGGATTTTTTCCCAAAAGGATGTCACTGTATATTTGTGAAAAATAAAAACTCCAACTTTATCACTGTTATTTTGAAATGCTCTCTCTCTCTCTCTTTCTCTCTCTCTCTCTCTCTCTCTCTCTCTCTCTCTCTCTCTCTCTCTCTCTCTCTCTCTCTCTCTCTCTCTCTCTCTCTCTCTCTCTCTCTGTATATATGTGTATACATACATATGTATATGTATGTATGTATATATATATATATATATATATATATATATATATATATATATATACATATATATATATATATATATATATATATATATATATATATATATATATATATATATATATATATATATAATTTATTTATGTGGTTTACTGGATTTAAATCAATCTGTGTTAGATTAAGATCACAGTTGCTCAGATTATTTACAGGCAATCATTTCTCAAGTTATTTTGACCAGCAATTGTGGGTTTATTTGTTAGTAACTTTTTATCAGATGTAAAGTATTCTGTGTTACGAAAAGTGCTCTACAAGTAATCTTTGATTTACTGAATGACAGAAAAATTACAAGAACAAATAAAAACATAATGAAACAAAATCACACACATTGATTTCTCACTGTTGAATTGTTTATATTTTTTAATACTAAAGAATAGAAAAGTGTCTCGTTTACAAGGAACAATTTAGTATTTTAATTTTGATTAGCCTTGCAAAGCTTTAATCCAAAACATTTAATCAATTAAACAAAACAAAACAACAACAAAAAAGAAAAATTGTTGGACTTTTCCCACAACAAACCACTAGATGGCGACAGTCTCCAAGCTGGCCATGTCCCATGATGCAACGCGTGCGCTTCCTTTTATATAGAGCCGGAAGTGTATAGCCATCATAGCATGAGTGGCTGGTTGTGTGCGTGTTGTTAGTTAGCGAGCGTCTGTGTGAGTGAATGTGGAGTATGCATGTTGTATGTGTGTATATTTTTAAAAACCTACACAGTGATCTTATTTGATCTGGTCTGAGTTTGGCTCTGCTCTGACTAGAAATGATAAAAAAAGCGCTCGCGAGCTTCTATGGGGGCGATGAGCAGCCGGCGACAAACACCTAATGGGGCCTCCACATTTCGTGCTGTGGTCAGAAGTGATGAATTGATCAGATATACTAGTTCTGGGTCGGCTTGAGGTTCGCCTTAAAGCTTTACCTGTAAGAACAATGAGTAAAGAGGCGATTCTGATCTCACCACAGCCGAAAAGAAGCCACGAGACCCGCATGTTAGGAAATGGTGAAACAAAAGTGGCTTTCATTTGTATAGATAAAGATGGATGGATGGATGGATGATCTTTATTGACAGACTCTTATGTCCAGATTAAAAAATAAATAAATAAAACAAAACATTAAAAACAAATAGAACAAATAAGATAAAAGCATAAACATCTAAATCTATTTAAAAAACTTACTATAAAGATGTTCCGCACAAGAGTAACCACACAAACACTTCAGCCAGTGTTTCCTTATACTGGACAAATAGCGACAAATGCTCACAGCAGGATCAGTGATTGCTAAAATTATACTGTTGGCAGAGCTATCCAGTCGTTCTCTAAAAGTGAACATTAGTTTTCTTAAAAGAGCTTTAAAAGTACAAATGCCTGCTGTTACAAACATCTGACTGGCACTGCCCCCTCTGGGTATTTTGAGTATGATTCTTAAGGCATCATTGAATGCAACATGCAGCTTATTCATGCTGCTTTGATTGTAAGATCAAAATTACTGCCCAACAAAACCAAAAATACTGCTCAACCACAGTTGGGCTGTATAAAGCGGAGTACAATATGCTTTAAATAAAGCCACCTTAACTGGTGAACAAAAACTTACGTGCTATAGTATTATTGGCCTGTGCATACAGCTTACAGCACCATGGCATGTAGTCATGCAAATGCTAAAATTGGCCATTAGAGACAAATTCGGACTTTTTTATGAGCAAAAACTACACAAGCATAAAAAAAAACTACACAAGCATATCCGTGTTCCTGTTTTACTTTCCTACATGTTCTCGCGATAGTTAGCGTTAACATTTTATGTACATGTGACCTCTTAAAAGCTCAGCAAAACGCGCGAGAATAAGCAACGTGATCGTAGCCGAACCGTAGCCGCGAAGAGAATTTTGTTTAGTCGCTATGGGCGAATCAAGTAAAAGACCGAGATTAAGTCAAATTAGCAGAAACACGCAGACTTCTGCGAGCAGAGCAAGCGTGTTCAGAGGTGGACACTCGGATATTGCCGGAGGCGTTGGTACATTTGTTGAGGGTTCCATCCTTCGCATCACGATGAGAAACTTCCTGTAAGTTGTAGTTCCTTAACTGTCAAGAGTCTACCGGTAGCCAGCAAACATCACATTGTGCTCTTAGATAACATACAAGCTTATAATAGCACCATTTGTTGTTTTATAAAGTTTTAAACCTTTTGATCACGTAGTTTGCGCACAGAAGTGAACAGCTAGCATACAATTAGTGGTTTAACGGCTCAATTTTAGCTGTTTAAATATAGTGATACAATAAATACAATGTTTTGTGTAAAATTAGCTATATAAGATAACATTTTGCGCAGTGTGACATAACCGAAAACTCCTAAATGTGTTTTCTGTCCACTGACAGAACGTATGACTTCTCTGTGGTCCATCCGGGATCCAATCTGAACATGATTGTTGGAGCTAACGGGACTGGGAAGTCCAGCATTGTATGTGCCATCTGCCTGGGTCTGGCTGGAAAGACAGCAATTCTGGGCAGAGGAGACAAGGTACACAAACCACCTGCACTGGTCTACTTGATTTATTCTGAAAAAGACCATTTAAGAAAGCGATGGAGTCAAGATTTTTATTGGTTTGTTAAAATCACACTGGTAATAAAGACATATAAACATTTGCAGAAACTATTTAATTTCTGTTGTTTATGCACACAGAGTCATGATTGCTACAAGCTTTTAATGGTTAAATAAATTGATTTAGATTATTTATGCAGGTTGGGCTCTATGTCAAACGTGGCTGCAAGAAAGGCTCTATTGAGATTGAACTGTAAGTTACTTTACATAGATTTTCCTCTATTACACTTTTTGTATTTTTAATCTAAATTCCAGATTGATGCTCTTGCATAACAAGTACCAAGCTAATGGTTGACCAGCCAGATAACATTAGACATGCTTGCATGAAATGATGTCTGTTTTTGCCTCTACAGGTACAAAAATGGAGGTAATGTGATAATTAACAGAGAGATCCATGTAGAGAACAATCAGTCACTTTGGATGCTGAATGGAAGACACTGCAGCCTGAAACAAGTAGAAGAAGAGGTCAGGACTCTGCAAATTCAAGTCAGCAACCTCTGCCAGTTCCTCCCTCAGGTAGGTTTTCTAGATGTGATCTAGCTCAGTGGCCTAGTGGCAGAGTGTCTGTTCTGGGACTGGGAGATCAGGGATTGGATTCCCGGTCGGGTCATACCAAAAACTTTAAAACTGGGACCCAGTACATCCCTGCTTGACACTCAGCTTTAAGAGGTTGGATTGGGGGTTAAACCACCAAATAGTTTCCAAGCGCAGCCACCGCTGCTGCTCACCACTCCCCTCCATGGGGATAGGTCAAATGTGCAGATGAATTTCACCAGTGTGTAATGATGACTATGTGACTTTAACTTTAGTGCTTCACTTGTGCAAAGTAAAACGTGTCAGAAATCTTCATTTTCTAACTTCTTCTCTGTTCTGTCACAGGAAAAAGTTGGAGAGTTTGCAAAAATGTCCCAAATTGAGTTGCTTGAGGCAACCGAGAAGTCGGTTGGACCACCAGAAATGTACGAGTACCACTGTGAGCTTAAAAACTTCCGCAGCAAAGAACGAGAACTGGAGGTGAAACTTTATTTTATTTGTGTAACAGTTTTTTTTGGGGAATAACTGTTTAGATAATCTAATTCCCGTTGAGATCTCAGCTATGTCAGCTGGATTGTTGTTACATGATAATTACATGTTTGCTGTTGTGAAAGATGCAACTCATCGTTTCGCTGCGGTTTTGGCGGGATGTTTGTCTGTAGAACGTCTTGAAGGAGAAGACGAGTTTCCTGGAAAAGGCCAAGCAGAGGAATGAGAGGAACAAGCTCGATGTCAACCGCTACTATGAAAAAAAGCGGCATCTTGACGTCATCGAGCTGCTGGAGAAGAAGAAACCGTGGGTGGTGAGTTATTCACATAAAGCACTCTGCACAAACTGTGGAAACAAATCCAGTTTGTAATCTGATTACCCTCTTTGGCTTTGATATCAGGAGTATGAAACCACTCGTAAGGAGCTGGAGGGTGTGAAGAAGGAGCGAGAAGAAGCCAAAAAGCAGCTTTTGACCCTGAAGCAAGCCCAGGCGCCCATGCTGAAGAAAATCCAGCAGATTGATGAAAAGCTGAAGCCCATTGAGGCAGAAATGAAAGCTAAGGTGACCGAAGGTGGCTTGCTGTCTAAATCTGTTACATGAACATTAAGTTAAACTAACCATGTGTGTTTCAGACTGCTGCTATCAAAGAAGCTTCTCAGAAGTGCAAGCAGAAACAAGATCAGCTGGATCGAAAACATAAAGAGGTGGTGGTGGTGGTGGGGTGGGGGTGGGGGGGGGGGGTTGTTGTTCAAAGAAGAGGAAAAAAAAAGTAACAATTAAATGTTTGAAATAACGTCATCCTTGTGGCTCATCTCTCCTCTGCAGATTGATGACATTAAACAGGCACTGAGGATGAAGCAGATTGAAGAGGAAGACCACCAGAAAAGAATCGTCAACACTAGACGGACCATCGAAGACCTGAAGGTGGAGCTGGACAAGCTCGGAGACCAACTAGACACCACCCTGCTGATTTCTGCTATTAGTGTGGAACTTAAGGAGATCCAGGAGAGGACAGCCAGGATTGAAGCGGAAAAGGCCGACCTGCGCAGGGAGAGGGACAACGTCATCGCAGAGTCCAGAAGTGAGTTTAAAACTAAACAGACTTTACATTTAATGATTAAAATAACAGACGGCATTGCTAGGATTTTATTATTTTAATGCCAGGCTTGCAGAAGAAGCTCAATGACATGAACAACCTGATGAACATGAAAGAAGAGAAGCTGCGGACACGCCACAGGGACACACACACCGCTCTCCTTTGGCTCAGAGAGAACAGACAGCTGTTCAGAGGAAACATTCATGAGCCCATGATGCTGGTGGTGAGTTCCATCACTGGAAATGTGTATTACTAGAAGTTTTAGTTGCTGTAAAATGCCGAAGTTTGATGTTTCAACCCACAAGTTTAGTCATAAATGTATTAAATGAAAAATAAAATCTCGTTTTCCTATAAGTAGATGTTAAAACGTAATGGTTACTTGGCCTTCGTTATCACAGATCAACGTAAAGGATCATCAGAATGCCAAGTATGTGGAGAACCACATCTCCTTCCACGACCTGCGAGCGTTTGTCTTCCAGAGGAAAGACGACATGGAGATTTTCTTGGTGGAGGTCAGGGCGGCTTGCATTCAGAACACTGCTCAGCTGAGAGACAGCATTTCTGAGTGTGAACATGTAACTGTTCATAGTAAGAATTTAAAATATTTTCTTCAGGTTCGTGACAAGATGAATCTGAAAGTCAACGCCATTTCTGCTCCGGAGGTGTCCTGTTCTGGACGTCCACCGTCAAGAAACATCGAGTCCATGAGGTGAGAGAGAGTGAAAGTGTGTTAATGATCAGCCAAGGTGGGGGCTGCTCCAGTGTGTTTTCCTCTCCATCTGCCACCCTTTTTATTTATCAGATACGGTTTTTTATTTTATCGTCTGCAGGCGTTTTGGGTTCTTCACCTACCTCCGTGAGATGTTCAATGCCCCCGATGAGGTGATGAGTTACCTGTGTTCCCAGTACAAAGTGCATGACGTTCCAGTCGGCAACGAGCAAACCAAAGCCTTGATTAATACAGTACGTTCTTTTTATTGCATGTTTCTGATTCTCCTTTACACCTAAAGACAATCAGAGAAGATTTTCCCTTTTAAAAGTGGATCATAGGAGCTTTTATTTTAACTTACAAACACAGCTGTTCATAACACCTACTTTGTGTTTTGTTTTTAGGTGATTCAGGAGCCTTACCTTAAGGTGTTGTATACGACAGATGAGAGGTACACTGTAAAAAGGTCCATCTATTCCAACAAGACCAGCACCAGTAACTCAGCTGTGCAAAAGTCTCAGTACCTCATCATCACCGTGGACGCTGAAGAGAGGCGACAGCTGGAGCAGCAGCTGAGGGTGAGACAGTCGTCGTCTTAGTTTTTTTTTTAAATCAGTTTTAATCTCCTATGAAACACGAGGGACCCTGACAACGTTTAGGTGTGATATTATTTAGTCATTCTTGCATTTTCTGTTGCAACCAGGCCTGTGAGTCAAAACTGCAAGAAATCGATGAACGAATGAAGACCCTGCAGACGGAGTTTGCTGCACTGAATCGCCATGAAAACGAGCTGTTGTCGGAGAAGAAGCGTTTGTCTGAGTTAAAGGGAAAAAAGAAGCAACTGGAGCAGAAAATCGGCACCAAACAGGACAGGTGAGCCTTCAAAGGTCTGGAGAGTCTGATATGGTCATAAAGTTTATTCAAATTTTGAAAGTAATTTTTTTATGTATGTTGAGTCTGAGGCAGATGGAGCAGAACGTTATCGATTTGAAAAAGGTTGAAGAACAAACAAATGCCAAGATTAAAGCCGTTAGTTTCCAGAAGGTGACCATAGTCTCTGTGCTCACGGCAGAAATTAAGGTATGAATCTTAGAGGCATACGATGCATCTTTATCATGTTTTTAAATTAATGTCTTGAGCCACTATGTGCTAAAACAACCCCTTACATGGCTAATAGGATGTAACTCTGACCCCACCACTCTCTATGGCCAGAATATTGCACTTGCAACTTCAGAGTGCCAGTCTGCCTCCTGTTGGACTTAGTCAAGTGGAGCTGACATGGTAGTGCTGCAGTCTGCCTCTAGCATGTTTTTTGTGCTTTAGATCATGAATACTGCTGATTTGGTGATGAATTGCTCCTGTAGACATTAATGAAGGCTGAGGAGACATTTCAGCTGTTAGATTAAAGTGTAAAAAGACAAACACACAGCGAGGAGATACATTTCACTTTCATTTTACTAACGAACACTAGAGGGTGCTAAAAGCAAGACAGAATTGCTTATGTAATATCCCTTTAAACTTTGTACCAGAACCTGTCTACGACTACTTTACATTAATCTGCTTTATATTTCTATCATCTGCAGACGAAAGCTAAGCTGTCAATGGAGAAAGTGTACTTGGCTTTGGAGACTGTGGGGTTAACGGCAGAGAAGAACAAGCTGGAGAACGACTGCAGAGAGGGCGCCTCTGAGCTGAAGACGATGGATGTAAGGTTTTCATGCACATTTCATTCATTCGGTGTAGTTTTGTGCTGACGTTGACCCGCTGTAACAGATAAAGTGCAGCCGTTTGGAGCAGAGAAAGGTGCAGCTGACCGAAAAATGCAAAGGCCTGTTGAAGAGCGCTAAGTCGATCTGTCGGATGCAAATGGACGAGCCGTTACCTGAAGGCCTGCGTAATGTTAGTGTTCATATTCCTACTGCCGCGCCTCAAAATCTAGCAACAGTTAGCCTCTAGCGTTGTGTTTGTCTCAACGCAGGCCTTCAGCAAACTGCCTGACACGCTGGACGAGGTGGACTCCATGCTGAACGAGGAGCGGTCTAGAGCTGAGTGCTTCACGGGTCTAAGTGAAAATGTAAAATCAGTGATCAACCGTTTGTCTGAGATGTTGTTTTTGCTTCTGCTTGGAAACGTTTGTCCCATCTGCACATCGCAGGTTGTCGAGGAGTACAGCAGGAGGGAGCAGGAGATCGAACATCTGGAGAAAGAGCTGGAAAAGAAGATCGCAGATCTGAACGCCTACCGACAGAACATTTCAGAGGTGTGTTGTGGCTCAAACCTGGAACCTGCTGCGGCTGCTGCTGTTTTACAAATGCGTGTTAACTTTGCTTCAGGCTAAGGAGCGCTGGCTGATCCCTTTGAAGCAGCTGATCGAACAGATAAACGACAAGTTCAGCAATTTCTTTCGCTCCATGCAATGCGCAGGAGAGGTTGATCTGCACACAGAGAATGAGGTAAACACCCATGAGCAATCCTAACCCTCTTGGGGTTCTACAGGTCAGTAGTTGAACCTCTAAAGCTTGGTTTATGCTTGACGCATTCACTTTCCGCGCGGTGATGCGGCTCGCGGATGGAACGCGCTTCACAACTCGCAGTGTTTATGGTTCGTGCGGCTCGTCTCTGCGGTGAGCCAATGTTCTCCCAAACTGAACGGGGCAGCATGGAGCTCTACGGCAAACATCCAACACAACACCATAGTAGAAGTAGAAATCACTGTTTACAACACGGCATTTCAGCATTTTTAACAGCGTCCTCGTCTTTTCCGACAGTGCGAGCTATTTCTCTCCAAGAATTATTAACAACATGTTGATCACGGTGATCTCTGAGAGCTGAATCATACAAATGTCTGTATTTACAAACCTCTGCCGTACTGGTTCTTGTCGGTCCACCATGTTTTTCCGCGTCCGTCCGTCCGCGTGGTTAGAAATTTTCCGAGGTGCGCGTTGCGGAAATTCTGGGCCGTGCGGAGGCGCGGTGGAGGGGCGTGGTTGTTAAAATGACGCAACTTTTCTGCGCGGAGCCGTGCGGACCTCGCGGACGCGTCAAGCATAAACCAACCTTTAGTGAGATGCAGCAGGGTTGTAATTAATGTCCTGCTGCTGTTCCTCAGGAGGAGTACGACAAGTATGGGATTCGCATTCGAGTGAAGTTCCACAGCAGCACTCAGCTCCACGAGCTCACGGCGCACCATCAGAGCGGAGGGGAGCGCAGCGTCTCCACCATGCTCTACCTCATGGCCTTACAGGAGCTGAACCGCTGCCCCTTCAGAGTCGTGGATGAAATCAACCAGGTGTGAAAGCTTAACGTTGGTTTGAGATGGAGAAGCTTGCAGCTCCCCTACATGCTGGATGCATAAATACAGTCCGCTTTTCTGTTTATTTACCTCTGTGGGTCTTTCTGTTTTCCAGGGGATGGATCCTATAAATGAGAGGAGAGTTTTTGACATTGTGGTCCAAACAGCCTGCAAAGAAACTACTTCTCAGTATTTTTTCATCACACCAAAAGTAAGTGTGTTTTTGTTTTGGCCCGTTTTGTCCCACATCTGGAAGCAAGACTCCAGGCGTAAAGCAACAAAAAACTGAATCTCCTAGTTTTTAAGGAGATTTGAACTTTCTTTCCTGATATCTTTGTTTGCAGCTCCTGCAGAATCTTCAGTATGCTGAGGAGATGACCGTCCTGTGTGTGCACAACGGCCCCCACATGCTCCCCCCCGACAAGTGGGACATAAAGGCTTTTATTAGACGCCTTGAAAGAAAAGCCCGAGCATAAGTTCATGTTCTGAAGAGTCTAAATACTAGATGTGTTGATCCTTTTGTGTTCACGTTGCATTTGAACTTGCTTTGTTTACTTTTTATAACAGACCGTTTACACAGTAGCTTTCATGTTTATATCGCTAAATAAAAAAAGATGCTGCTGTCATTTTTGGGTGTTTATTTACTTTAAATGTAATAGAAACAATAAAATTAGCATAAAAATGTGATTTTAAAAAATGTTTTATTTTTTTAATGAATACATAATTTCAGGTTCAGATTCAGATGAAATTCTGATGACACTTAACACACGTTATCTGTTTAGTTAGGAGAGTATTAGAATTATTAAAGAGATTTATTATGAATTATTTAACAAAAATTCTCTTTCTTTGTTTGGTTTTGTATTTCTGAGAACACCAGCCAGTTATAATCTTCCATTTGAGTTTAGATTATGAAACAAAGCTCAGATTACCGGTTGAAACTAGTTTGATGTGTTTGGTTTTAACTTTGTCAGTATAAAGTTACCGGATGAGCTCCTGAACTTTACCTCGGGACAACAACGTAGATGGGTGTCAAATTATAAGTCAGGAATTTTAGTTCCCTTTAAATGTTCATTTGATTTTATAATTATTTTAGAAGTCTCCCCAAAACAACCCAAAAGTATTAGTTTAACTTTCAGTATTGTTTAAAGCGCTGTTTGAACTTCTCTCATACCGTAATTTGATTTGATTAATGTAAAAACTTCTCATACTTAATAATACTAGAAGTCCAACTTTATAATAAAACCCCAAAACACATTTTCAATTCTCACTAGAAAAGGTTTTAAATAATTTTGAGAAATTAAAATTGATCTAATTTTATTCCTGACAAAAGTGTTCATGTTTCTTTTGGAGCCATCAAGTCATCGTATGTTATTGGTAACAAATTCATTATTATTGGCTGCTAAAATAACCATAAATATGCAGCAGTTGAACAAACCTTAATCATGTCAGACATTTTCTCGTTAAAGTGTAGAAAAAGCTGTATTCTATTTAAAAGAAATTATGCATGCTGGCTTCTTATGGAACAAGACAGCCGTCGAAATGGAACGCGGCCCTCGTTTTTACACCTGCTACTCTTAAGTTGAACAGTGAGATAAGCTACTCTAGAGCTGCGTATTTGTTCAGAGTGGAAGAATAAGCCCCGCCCCTAGCAGCACCTGAGTGCACAGGTCTCCACCCTGATCCTCCACCTCCATCACTTCAGCGCTGACCGGTGGGGCGTTAGGATGCATCGAGGCTCGAGGCCCCTGAGTCACCCTGTTCTCCTGCTCTGGCTGCTTTCTGCACAAGTATCCGCGGACCTGCCCTTGTGCAAAGAGGTGAGGAGATTCCCATTTTTACTGTTCACCCAAATCTGGGATCAAGGGCACTGGAGCCCTGAGATTACCCTCAGAAACCAAATCCAATATAAACACGATTGCTAATAAGACATTCCTTCATAATTATTACAAAATGTGACTAAAATGAGATAAATACGTTTTTAAAGCCGTTTGTATTTTATTCTCCTTTTTTGTTATTGTATTAGTAATATTTATCATAACTTCCTTATTTAACCATGTTGTGGGCTGAAACATTAAAAATGTAAAGTTCATGTAGTCATTATGGAATATTTGGATGCAACAAAGAAAAATGTGACACAAGAGCAAGATTTAAAGAGTTGTTATGGGCCTATTTAACAGTAATCATCACATGTGTGGAAGAAATATGCACAACATTTCAAATCATATTTCAAATTGTGTATTTTTGAACTTCGACTCCTAAAAATGTTGCTGGATGTGGACTTTTAATGATATTTTCTTGCCATAAACAGCTAAAGAATAAACACATTTCCACTTAGTCTGCTACCAGCTGCTGTTTCAGTGATCAGGATCTCGTGTTGCACCTATATCTACTTAAAGTTTACATAACAGCACTTCATTTAGATAAAAACCACAAACTATTTTTAATTGCTTTACTTTGAGACGATAGTGCAGAGACGACATTGGAGTTTAGTTTGAAGGCTTTGCAGGTGAGTCGGTTTCCATGCCTGTTCCTTCGACCATGAAGCACAGCTGTCACGATGTCCCGTCGCCTTGGTTTCCTCGTGTTTACTCAAAGAGGATCATTAAGCTGAGGCACCTATCCAGTTTGCTGCATTTGTGCATCAGTCTGCCTGAATCGAACCCATATATTCACCCCTCAGCACAGGTGATCTTTGTTTTTCTCGCAGCACAACCGAGAGATGGAGAAGTGCTGCAGCTCCTGTGTTTCTGTTAACTATTAATCCCACAAGGCCGTGAGTGTGGGCTTGGATTAGTCTACCAGCTGGCTTTCCATGGAATATTACACCTAGCTGCTGACCGGGGGACAAATCTTGAGGTTATAAAGGAATCATAGGAAGGTTATTATTACGTCTTTCCCTCAAGAAACACTCCTTTGGGTGAAATGTCTTAAAACATAAAGGTTTACATACTGATTGATACCTCTGAAAGTTGCAAGGAAGCCGCCACACATCTAAGATAAGTGTGAACGGTTGAAATGGCCTCCACGGCAAACATTAGCCTCACCTGTTATTTACTAAAGAGGCTGGCCGAGTTAGGAACTGGAATACCCGCAGGATAAAATGACCCAGTGATCTACTTTTAACAACACTCCCTTCTTACGTTACGTTTTTATTTTTCTGACTCTACAAACGTTAGTTTTAGCTTTTTTTGGTCGCTTTGAGGTTGCATGAAGTTTTATTCTCCATCGTGTGAAACTCACAGCTTTGTTTTGCTCCTGCAGTCAGATTATCACTTTGAGTACACAGAGTGTGACGTTCTCGGGTCAAGATGGAGGGTGGCAATTCCCAACAAAGCCAACACATGCACTGGCCTCCCAGAGCCAATCAGAGGCACCAACTGCAGTGAGTGTCCTAATTTTACACCCCTGATTGGTGTAAATCCCCGTGAAGCATTTCCTAATTTAGCTCTTTGTGTTCTAGCCTTCTCCTGTGATGAAGGAGCGTTCCTGAACATGCAGACGCAGAAGTGCCAGAAGTGTGCAGCAGGGACCTACTCTCTGGGGACCAGCGTGGCCTTTGAGGACTGGGACACCCTTCCAACTGGTGTCATCACTTACGGGAAGATGACAAATAAGGAGAAGGCCGGTCCAGACTGCTCTAAGTTTGTATAAATTGTAGCTCACTTATCTTCTCATAAAAGTAATCTTTAAGATGCTCTTTAAATGGTTGCTGCGGGCGGTATTGTTGCAGCTCCACCTGGACACCAAAGGGCGACTACGTAGCCTCAAACACCGATGAGTGCACGGCAACACTGTCTTATGCTGTTAACCTGAAAACAAACGGAAATCTTTTCTTTGAATATTTCTACCCTGATGACAGCATCTATTTTGAGTTTTACGTGAGTGCTGCTGTTGTGTGATTGTTTCTGGGACACCAAAGGCGTTTTTATAAACTTTTTTCTGTGCTTCCTCCAGGTTCAAAATGACCAGTGTCAGTCGACTGACTCTGAGAACCGTGGGATGAGGACTTCAGACAGCTGGAGCCTACACAAGGTTTGTCCAAGAGGAGCTTCAGTGTTTCAGCGCACCTTATTAGTTTGTGTTTGCTGGGAAAAGTTTGACGGGAGAATCTGCTGTTCTGTGTAGGTGCAGCTGAGAAAAGGCACCAACGTTCTGTACTGGAGAACCACAGCGTATGATCTGCTGGGTGGTGCTGTCAAACCTGTCATGCTAAAGAACATTCAGGTCTCAGGTATAATAACGTGTGTGTGTGTGTGTGTGTGTGTGTGTGTGTGTGTGCGTGCCCATGTCAACATCTACTGTGTCTGTTAATGATTGATAATTCTCTTGCAGGGGTGTCCTACACATCTGAGTGTTTCCACTGTAAACCCGGCACACACAGCGCTAAGCCAGGGTCAGCCCGCTGCACCCCCTGTCCCGCTGGCACCTACTCCAACAAGGGTGCTACCAGTTGCTACGAGTGTGAAAAGGATAAATACTCTGGTATGTGTCTCTGTGCTTGTTGCAGGCCTGAAAACATAATCTGTTTTGAGTTCAGCCTCACATGTAAAAAACCAGTCAGCATGCAAAGTGGGACATTTACTGGCTAAGTGGTTATCACATCTTAACATCTTAATGGGAGCTGCGTGTTCTCCCTCACACCTGTTCTTGTGTTTCTGCATCACCAGTACCCAGCTCAGGGAGCTGCAAACCAAGACCTGCATGCACGCACTATGACTACTTTTACACCCGCACCCCCTGTGACTCTGAAGGAAAGGTAATGAAGAAAATAGCAAAAGATTAAAAACAACCAAACTTGCTAATAATACGTAACCATTACATTCCTGTGATCGTCAGATGGACTGACTTAACTCGTGTGATCTAGACTCAGGTCATGTATAAATGGATTCAACCTAAGATCTGCAGTGAGATGGTAGATGGAGCAGTGCAGCTTCCAGCATCAGGAGAAAAGCAAACATGTCCGCCATGTAACCCGGGGTTCTTTATCAACGGCACCTCAGGATGTGAGCCCTGCACCAACGGTTCCTACTCAAATGGAACAGGTGAAGTTTTTCAGTTTTAGCAGGTCAAAATCCAAGTTGCAGTTGTTGTTGCAGGTTGAATCGTGTGTTTTAAATGAGGATTTTATTAACATTTCAAACTCTTTAGTAATAGATTATTACAGGTTGGACACATATATTGTCTGCATTGTGCAGTGGGGGAAATAATTGCATTGTGTGCTAATTCTTTGGTTAACAAATAAAAAAACTAATCAGCAATAAGTGAAATAGATGCAGATATTTGTGCCCTCAAACGCGTATTTACACATGTCGCTGAGGAGGTCTTCTTCTGTACAGAATGAAAGATCATAAACAAAAAGGAAAATGTTAACTTTATTAGAAACTAGTATATATAATACATTAAAAAGGCTCATTTTGTCTTTGTTTCTTAATCAAAACTACTCAATTTTCTTTTTTGTAAGACAAAAGTTTGTAAAAGAAAACTGAGTAGTTAGGATTTTTGTAACATGATAATTTTGTGTACATCCTGACAGCATAACATTATCTACTCACAGTTTGTGCCATGTGCCCCGTTGGCACCGAGCCGCTGTTGGGTTTTGAGTACAGGTGGTGGAACACGATGCCGACCAACATGAAAAGCTCAGTTCTCCATCATGAGTTCAGCAGCTCTGGCCGAAGCACAGGTCGGAAAAGTTAAAGAGGAGGTATCTGAACTGCTGTGAGCCTTATTATTACATTTAAATGAATATTTGTATTGGCAGCATGGGAGGTGAATGGAGATTATGTCTACACCACCCCTGCAGATCAGGACAGTGACTACCAGATGCTCACTCTGACTCTTCCAGGATACAGGTGAAGGTTTTCTTCAATGGGTTTAAATTGGAGGTGGGAATTTAACGCATTTGTTAAGCTTAATTAATTAGAAAATAAAATAATGCTTACAACATTACAAATGTACTCCTTTGAACTCGAGCGTCCCCTAATTGGGGGCCAGACAAGTTTAGCATTGCAATATATGTCCTAGATATCAATACATGAAATCAAGCTGCTCCTCTAACAAGACTGCAGAGCCTGGGCTACAAGACCATATAGACTTTTTTACAAGCTCCAAACACAACTCAACTACAATTAAATGAATCATTATAAACCGCTTCTTATGAAGAAAATAAAGGAAGAAAAACAATCTGCTTCTTTACGTTATGTTTTGTAGTTGGTAGAGAGCAGGCAGGCAGAAACTTTACATATATGAACTTTATTACGGCAGGAGAAATGAGCATACATGCAGCATTCATCTTGTAACCCTCAGCAGAACTTCCCCTGAACTCTACTCTACACCTCTATTGGAAGTGCTCTGCTGCCACCTAGTGTTCATAACAGTACACAACATTTGCAATGTTCCATTTCCATTTACACTTCATCATTAACACATTTACTAATATTTACATATCCCAGCAAATACCCCAATGGTTAGGGTCATTTTAAAATAATTTTCTTGAGCCAGAATGTGCTAAAATGACCCTTTACAAAGTCCCTAGTTTGTGAATTGTTTGTTCACTGACATTGGCAATAAACCTATTCTGATTCTGATTCTAATTAATGAAATGTCACTCAGACCCCCACCGCCCCCTGTGGCCAGTATACGGCATTTGCAACTTCAAACTGGTGTGCAAACTGTCGCAGTCTGGTTCCAGCACGTTTCCCGCATGTTTTAGATCACAAAGCTGTGTGTTTTTTTAGTGATGAGTCACTCCTGTAGACACTAAGGAAGACTGAGGAGACATTTCAGCTGTTAGATTATGTGTTATGAAGACACCTGAGTTATGAAGACAAATGCACAGTGTGGAGATAGGTTTCATTTTCGATTTGACCACAGATGATAAATAATGGCCACTAGGGGGTGCTAAAAGCAAGCAAAACTGTTAAGTGTGCCTTTAAAATGAGACCAAAGTAATTAAAATACCAGAGGTGTGACCAAGCCACTGCTTTGCAAGTCACAAGTAAGTCACACGTCTTTCCAGTCAAGTCTCGAGTCAAGTCCAAGTCAGACAATCAAGTCCAAGTTAAGTCCAAAGTCAATGATGTGGAAGTCCAAGTCAAGTCCAAGTCCTTAACTTTGAATTTTCAAGTCATAATCAAGTCATCTGTCCAACTTCAATTTAATGACAAATAAATTCCAGAAATAAAGCCTCTTAAAGTTTCATTTATTTGCTCAAACAAGCAGAAAGTGCAACTGAAACGGATTATAAACAAAGTGCTGCTGCATTTAGCAGTACAAGAACCAAGAATGATTTATGATTTTTGTCCATGCCACTTTTGTGCTAAAATATCAAATATGCTCAAGTCATCATAAAGTCAACAGATGCAAGTCAATTCAAGTCGCAAGTCATTGGCGTTCAAGTCTGAGTCAAGTTGTTAGTCTTTATAGATTTTATCAAGTCAGAAGTCATTAAAATAATGACTCAAGTCTGACTCCAGTCCAAGTCATGTGACTCGAGTCCACACCTCTGTCTAATAGACCTTGTGATTACAGAAAGATACTCATTAAAGTGTGGGTATGTCATCTGTGCCTCGATAACATTATTTTTTATTAAAACATTGCTTGGGCCAAAACTGTCTTGAATGGTTAAAATGCAAATATCAGATTAATTGCGGTAATTGCAAAGCCTCTAATTAATTAGATTTTTTTTAATCGAGTCCCAGCCCTAATTTAAATATAAGAGTCTCTCTTTATATTTATTATGTTTAAAAGGAATGTTAATAAATTGTTCTTTGGCTGTAAAAAGGAGTCAGTCTACGTTCCAAGGCAGCGAGAAAACTGAGTTATCTCGCATCTCCTTCGTTTTTGAGACCGTGTGTACAGCTGACTGCAGGTTTTACTTCCTGGTGGTGAGTGAAAATGTGTTTCTTGGTACTTTGCATGTCTGTAAATGAAGTTTGGTTTGGTATGAAAATGTGAGACGTTGAGTGTTTCCCTTCAGGGCTATAACAAGTGGTTCAACGACGTGGTGGAGCAGTGGAAGGGCAGCAACGGGAAGCAGTCGTATTCCTACCTGATCCAGAGTAACCACACGGTCAGCTTCACCTGGACGTTTCAGCGGACCAGCCATTTCAATGTGGTGAGCATATCACACAGCTCAACGATGGCTGAAAATTTGTTGTTTTCATATTTAGGCTGACATATTTCAGCCTTTTATGGCCAAATTTGGATCTGTTAACACAAAAATGTAACTTATTTCCCCATCCGTGAACTCACCTTTGGGGAACACTCGATCACTAATTAATTTGAAAGCTTTTACATCTAGAAACCAATTTTCTATTGGGTTACACATGTGGATTGAATATATTCTAGTAATATAATCTAATAATTCTTTAAGAAATGTGGAATCAGTCAAAATCAGGATTGGCCATTCAGAATGACTCCAAACTCCTCCAAAACCAGGATTGATGTGCAATTGCTGTCTTTCTTTCAGGCCCAATGCACAGGAAGGCATCCCACTAGGTGGCACTCTTGAGCTGTGGCCCCTGTGCACTCGCTCATGAAGCCAAAATGTAGATTTAACAGTAAAATCAGTTTAGTAATAAATATCACTTTGTGTGTGTGCTCTCTCAGACCAGAAGGTACAGCTCCGATGCTGCAAAGATCTACTCCATCCACATCACCAACGTGAAGGGAGGGGTAGCCTCAGAGTGTCGCCGCTGTGCTCAGACCACCGACTCCACTTGCGTCCCCTGCCCTCCAGGGCACTACATGGTGGAGGCGACAGGAGCGTGTAAAAGCTGCCCCCCCAACAGCTACGTCAGAGCCAGTCAGCCCATTGGGGAGTCTGCGTGCGTTCAGTGTGGTCCAAACACAAAGAGGAACATAGTATGGAACCAAACTCCAAAGAAAAACAAAGCTAAATTATTCTGGCTTTAAATGGTTTATATCTTTATGTGTCTTTTTCTTTTCATGCAGGATTAACTGGATTAAAAAAAGTTAAATGGAATATATTTCAAAGAGTTTATGTTTGTGATGAGTAATGTACAGTAGAGGAGTTTAAAAACTAAATAAGAAAATAAAATGATGCTCTGACCTCTGACCTGCAGGCCCACACAGCCTGTCTCAGTGACTGTAAAGTGGACATCCAGACTAAAGGAGGGGTCCTGAACTACAATTTCTCCTCCCTGTCCAAAGTCATCGACTTCCGCAGCGGCCCCCGCTTCACCAGCAAAGGCCTGAAGTACTTTCATCAGTTTAATTTGGGTCTCTGTGGTGAGGTGAGGACAAACCCGCACATTTAGTGAAATTCTGTTGAGTGTGAGTGATTTTATGGTATTCTGATGCAGACCCAAGTGCCAGCCTCCTGTGTGGACAATGTGACAGAAAATGGAAGAGTGGCCAAAGGTTACATCTGTCAGTCTGTGGTGGTTCCCTCTGACATCAGGAGTCAGAGCGTAGTGTCCTCCCAACCTTTTGTCATCGGGGACTCACTCATTGGTCTGGATTTCATTTTGTTGCATCATATTATCTCTACTTGTCCCAAATCCTCAGATTTTCTTTTGTAGTATTCTGAACAGAAAACTTGTTTGGATTATTTTTTTTACAATATGTTTAAATATTTATGTCTAACTAATGAGAAAACTGTTTTTCCTATTCTAAAGGTGTGACCACTGACACCACCCTAGGAGGCCTTTCTTCTCCATCACAGATGTTCCCTCCTGCCTCCCCCCAGCTGCCAGATGTCATTTTCTATTACAAGTAAACTTACATGTTTACTCCACTGACACCTGAATGTTCATGCCTCAAAAACTCTACCAGAATCATATTGTTTGCTGAATAAAATAAAATAGATAAAATTATAAATACTTTCAGGTCCAGCGACACGACTCAAGCTTGTAAACAAGGCAGGTCGACCACCATCAGGCTGAGATGCAACCCGACAGTCACTGCTAAAGATGACATCAGACTGCCAAGGTGCTGCACATGCTCTATCTAAGCTAAGGGTGGGACTCGATTAAAAATTAATCTAATTGATTATAGGTTTTGTATTTAATCTTGATTAATTGAATTTTAATGATTTAAGACAATTAGCGCCCAAGCAATTTAAAAAAATCTAAATAATGTTGGTGAGGCGTACACACGCTTTAATCAATATATTTTTGTAACCACAAGTTCTGTTTGATTACTTTGGTCTCATAAAAGTAACCATTGTGAAATTTGTTGGGATGTGTAAATATTAGCATATGTGTTATTGATTGTTATGCTAAACCTTTCTGGCCCCAGTTGGGGAAACTCGGCCTCAAAGGGGAGAAGTTTTAATGCTTAATCTTTTTTTCTAATTGATTAATCGTAATTAATGTGTTGAATTGTCGGAGGGACTGGTGGCGCCAGTGCTCGGCAGCCTTGCCTCTGTCAGTGCGCCCCAGGGCAACTGTGGCTACATCGTAGCTCATCACCATCAGTGTGTGAATGTGTGTGTGAATGGATGAATGATACACTGTAGTGTAAAGCGCTTTGGAATCCTTACTCTGAGAGGTGCTATACAAGTGTGGGCCATTTATCATTCATTTAAATTCCCACTTTTAATTTAAACACATATTATCTAAAATAAACACAACACACACACTCACAGGACATGGCATATTAAGCTCAGATAGGCTAAACTAAATTAACTGTGGCTCTTTAATATGAGGTTATACAATTTTTTGTTTTTTCTTAACAGTAACTGTTCTGAGGGGACGTGTGATGGTTGCACCTTCCATTTCCTGTGGCAGAGCCAGCATGCATGCCCCCTCTGCACCGAAAATCACTACAGAGAAATCATCAGTGCTTGCATTCAAGGAATACAGGTACCACTGCCTGGTCCTACTTATCAACAGAGACGTCAACAGAAACGTGATATGAAACAAACTGTGCATCACATTTTTTTAACCTGCAATTTGGACTCTAAATAAAAATTCTACAAATATCAAGCCATTTTGACAACTGATATGTGAGAAATGTCATGTTTTGTGTCTTGTAGACAACCTCTTATGTGTGGCAGCAGCCTCTGCAATGTTATGATGGAGTATCATTACCAGCACAAAAAGTCAGTGCTTGTGTGACTTTGGATTTCTGGCTCAAGTTTGGCGTTTCCACAGGAGCAGTTGCTGCTCTGCTGCTAATCAGCATCAGCTGTTATTTTTGGAAGAAGACACGCAAGTGAGATTAAGATGCTTTAGATTCCTTTCATTTATTTATTTTATTTTTTAAGAAACCAGCTCGTTTAATCTGTTCTGTTGTTTCTTCATCAGGCTGGAGTATAAGTACTCCAGGTTGATGATGAACTCTGGAGGTAAAGAGTGTGAGCTACCAGCTGCAGACAGCTGTGCAATAATGGAGGGAGAGGATGCAGAGGATGAACTCATGGATCTTTCCAACAAGTCCTTCTTCAAGAAAATTAAGTCTTACTCACGAGAGGTTAGTATCCTTTTCATTTGCCGTCACATTAGTTTATTTTACATGCTTCATGACACGCTCAATGTGTTTGCAGAGAACATCAGATGGTTTTGACTCAGTTCCGCTAAAGTCATCCTCCCGCCTCCTACGGGAGGAAGAGGACTGATGCTGAAGAAATCACAATATCAACAGTTCATAAAACATCGAGGAAATCTTCAGTTTCTGAGATTTAAATGTCACTTTGGAGTACAAACATAGAACATACAGTAGGGATAGTTTTTCTGAGGGATTTTGTATGGATATTTTATTTAGTATTATTTGTTGGATGCTAGATTGTCAAACTTACAAATAAAATACGTGCCCATAAAAAGTCTTACTGCAGAGTTTTCAAAAATGATCCAGCTGGATATGTTACATTTTTTGGATGTGTAAAACTTTGCATTTTTTTATTACAAAAAGTATGTAACTTTTTCTTGTTTTCTATTTTATTTTATTATCAACCTGATGAAAAAGGAATAAAACAGCATCACATTGCTCAGAATGTACTTTGACAGTTTGTGAATTATACTTGTTGAAGCATATTGTTTTTGTCCCCAGTGAGTGCTTTATTATAAGAGAAAACGATTTTCAATAAAAGTACAACTTTATATTTAATGCTGCTTTCAGTGATTCTTTGTAACATTCGTCAATATGTTGACCAAATCAAGTTATTTTAACAATTTTCTAAAAAATAATGTTACCATCTACTAAAAACAAAATGAGATTATTACAATTATGTTTGATAATAAATTTATGTATCTTTTTCCCCGCGATTTTACTGGTTCCTCCTGCATTGCATTTCTTAACAAGTCTATAATTTTCCCCCAATGGCATTTGAATGCACCATTAGTTTCGGTTCAATTGTTATTCTCGTGATATTTTACCGAGCGTCGGTGATATTTCGGGAACGAAGGAGGAACAAATGTTTTTTTATTTTTATTTGAAGTATCAGAACAATAACATGGCATAGTACCGTAAATCCTCTAATACAGGCCTGGGCCTGTATTTGAATCAAGCTCATCAAGCTCCAGGCCTTTATTGGAAGGAGGGCCAGAATTAGAGGCAGGCCTCTATTTCTATTTGAGCAAAATGAACTAATGGTTCGCTGGAGTTTTTGACAATTAAAATTGCGCTCACATTTTCAAAGTTAAACACATTTCTTTTAACAACGGTAGTTTCTGCTTCAGCCATCCCCCCCCCCCCCCCCCCCCCCCCCGCCACCCTGTGCAGCAGCAGCAAACTCACTGATGCGCCTGCAGCCTCTCGGAGTTCCTGCTGCTCTAAACAGTAAAATAATTATTTTCTGTTCCTCACTTCTGATTACCTTCAATGGTGTCTGTTTGTTGCAACCACCAGGTACAAAAACTAACTTGTTTTTATTTGACTATTTTTCTGTCCTGCCTGTTTATTATCTTCCTGCATCTCCTCTCAATCCTAAAGAAAAACTGCTACCTGGGTTCATATATATTCACCTTATGAGTTACCTTTGAACTGCAGTTCTAAAAGATCTACCGACCGCAAAAACAGCGGAGTGCTCACCGGATGACAAGGTGATGCGCCCCGCTCCACAGCAAAACGCATCAGGCGCAAATAAGACAGAGAACATTAAAGGAAATGAACCGACATGAACGATCGCGTGTTAAATTAGTTTTTGAGGTGGCGACACCTGATTTGATGTTACTGTGGCCGTGCTCAGGACGCAGATCTACCGACCGACCGCAAAAACAGCGGAGTGCTCCCTGCTTGGCGGCCGCATCAGTGATCGGTGCATCACCGGAGGACAAGGTGATGCGCCCCACTCCACAGCAGCGAAACACATCAGGCGCAAATAAAAGACAGAAAACATTAAAGGAAATGAATCGATGAACGATCGCGTGTCAGTATCGACACTCTGGCACAGCGCGTTAACCCCCCACCCCCCCACCCCGAGCGCAGGAGCTTGTCACCTGCTGACAGCAGGCTGCTGTCTTTTCCGAGGGCTGCATCTTGCCGGTCATTATCATGTGACAGCGACTAGTCTATGACAGGCATAAAAAGTCACTATAGTGAAGTCGACTAGTTCATACAACCCCTGCTACTGCTCCCCAGAGTGTTCTGCAGCATAATCAGCACATTCTCTTTGAACTTGATATCAAATCTTCGCCTCCTCTTCGTCTCCGCACAGTTAAAGTTACCCTCGCGGTCTATCACTGGCAAATCAAAAGTGACAGATGACACAACCGCCCCCCGTACTTGCTTGTTACCACATTCCACCAGGCCACAATAAGAGACCGGCCATTATTCACCTCCGCCGACTCCTACACCAGCCAAAATATGAGACCCGGCCGTTAACTGAATACAGGCCTGTATTAGAGGATTTACGGTACTTTCATTGAATAACAATCAATTTCACAGGCAGACAGAAGTACCTTGAAAAGAGTTCCAGTACAACCAAATACTTTAACATAACTGTGGAATAATAGTCATTAGCTAAAGGAAAACAACACACACACACACAAAAAAAAAAAAAAAAAAAAAAAAAAGGGGAGATACATTACAAATCTTTTCTTTTCTCCCCGTGCCCTCTCTGGCTGTGAAGCAAACAGAATTGATGTCTGAATGCTGGTGACAAGCCTTACAGATTTACTTTCAGGTGGAGCACCAAAGCGTCTGCTTTCAATGTCATGCCTGATACTTAAAACTTTATTGTTATTGTTTTTGAATGCTTTTTAATTCCGACCAGACACGGAGACTGAGGTGAAAGAGAAAGGAAGAGACAAAAGGTGGGGGTGGGGTGGTGTTCCACAAAAATAAACAATAATGAACAAGAGTCTGCTTCTAGACCTGCAGAGAGAAGAACAAAATAAAAAAGGGACACAACAATAAAAGATCAAGCTTTCACTGCTTCACAAATGTTTTTAAAATTGTCCTTGATTGTAGGTACCCAGACCTCAATATTGTTAAAGAATATCTCCATGTCAGTATGAGAGAATGAAGATGAATGTAGCTTTTTATAGAACTGATAAACTGCCTGAGAAATGTGTTGGGGATCAGAGCATGCTCTGTCATTAATGATCAAACATTTAATTGTATTGTATTCCTGTCTCCTTTTCTCTAATCTACAGAAGTAGCTTGTGCTTTTCTCCCCCTCCAAAACTGAGACGCAGCATCCAGAGTACACAGTTCTCATAACTGAGAATTGAGATGTCTCTCAAGGACAAACCTGAGTTAAATGAACTGTCCAGATAAGGAACCTGTCAGCTATTATTTAAGGACAATAAAAACTGTAAGACATAACCAGGGAAAAGGCTGGAGATTGTCCCAACCTCATGCGTCCTTTGGTTTGGCATGAATTTCCATGCTGGATTAAACTTTTCAGTCTAAATATCTACCTTCTTTCCGTTGATGTAGCCAACATGACCTCTGTAATAAACATCTTCCCGGCTGCCTTTGCTTGTTCCATCTTGGGCCAAGCCGCTGCTCTAGCATCCCTGGACCGTGTCCGCTTTACAAAAGTCTTATTTGAAGAGGATCCCGAGATCTTTGCAGATTTTGAAATTCTTTGTGAGCTTCCAGAACAGATCTCTGCCTCAAGGGAATTGTAGAACGATCTGGCGGTGTTTGTCCTCTTGCCCAAGCGGTAAGCAGTATCGATCACCATCTCCATCGGAATAGTGACCTCCGGTGCGATCTTCCTGAGGATCTCCAGAAAAACGTTCCGGATTTCTTCTTACTTTACTACTATTACTTTTCTTTTAGCTCCTGGATCTTCAGGTCAACCCCCCCCCCCCCCCCATCTTTCCAGCTCAATATTTTTATCCATCAGTTCCTTGTTTTCTTTAATCGGATTCGGCATCTCTTTTTCCAGTGCTGCAATCTTGCTCTTGCAATCTTTAATTTCCGCATAATTCATTTCAACTAGCTTAGCAGCTGCTCCCCGAAGCTGTCCATCTTAGCCGTTAGCTTCTGTATGGCCTCCACTAATGCCGAGTTTGAGCTTTCTATTTGATCCCGTTATGATCTCTCGAGAGGGGGAGCTGCAGATTTAGTTGGAGTTGCAGGAGCGGTCTTTCTCAACATACTGCTGCTGCTAGCCATCTCCATCTGTGGCCAGTGGAAGAGGGAACTGTGTTTTTACCTATGGTTTTTACCTTCGTGTTTTGTGGACGGCATAGCTTCAAGCTTTTTTTTTTCTTCTTTTTTTAAATCCCTTTTGTTGGTAGATACGCTTTGTAGTCCGAGACTTCAAACTATGAAACGTTCCTTGCAATAGTTGTGGAGTTAAAACAGTCTTAAATAGGGCTAAATGTGGCGAGGCTGTTAAGATGCGACCGTCCGCTCCGCCATCTTGTCGCCGCCTCCAAGGAGGAACAAATGTGAGGAGTTGAAAGTGTGCAGACAACTTTATTCAGCAATCTCACGTGAAAAAGCCACGCGAAGACATAATTCTGCGAGAAGCTCCTTAGCGATAGATTTTTAGTTTTAGCCCATCTTTTCCACACTCGGTCGGAGTTGGACTGTGCACGGCTCGAACTAACCACCACCTCGGGGCAGAAAGTCGCTCGGTGGTGCAGACCGCTGCAGGAATGTCGCAGAAAGAAAGACCAGTCTTCTACAAGCAGGAGGTCAACAAGACGATATGGGAAGTCCCGGAGCGGTACCAGAAGCTGTCCCCGGTGGGCTCTGGCGCCTACGGAACTGTCTGGTAAACGGCATTTTAAGTAAAAGTTCAGTTTAAAGTGCGCAGTCAGTTAACTTAAGTTCACCTCCATTCATTTGGGACGAGGCCTGCTGATGCTACAGAAGCTAAACTTGGGTTAGCTTGTTCCGACTGATTGCTCGCTAATGTCGGGCAGGGAAGTGTGAGCAGGGAGACGACCAAAAACACCAACAAATGTAAACAATGTGGAAGACGGGCAATGGAAACGTGTTGCTTTAGATTCAGTCTAATTGATTATAATGTGTCTCGAAATACCACAAGTCCTTGTTTCTTCTCATTTAAAATGACTTATTCACAAAGGAGCTCGTAAAAATTAGCAGCTCAGATGCATTTACATCTACAAAGTGGGAGAAAAGGTCAAAGCTCATTTTTTGTTTTTAATCTAAGGACTAATGCCACTGTGGATTTAGTATGAGAAAATAGTATTATAAAACATATAAACAACATATAAAACATTCACCGTTTTCATGTTGTACTAGAAAAACATGGTCACTACTTCACTTATGAGCTGATGTTTGTTGTGCAAATTAAAGCAAACAGATATGGTCAGGTAGGGGAACACTCTGATTACTTGCTTTTGATTGGGATGATTGGGATTTGTTTAATTTTTCTCCCCAAATAAATTATGCATTTGCATACTTTAATAGTGTTAGTAGAGAGCCTCGAGTTTACTTAAAAATACATATTTAAATGTATAAAGTCAGCACTAAACCTCCTTACTGAGATTCTGGTGCACTGAAAGCGGAAAGCAGCTATTTGTTTAACTGATGACCCTAAGCTTCTCAGGTGTTTACATTTAGTGATAAATCTTAAAAAAGAGAACATTATCAATGCCATCTATTTTTTAATTTTAGAGTGCAAACACCGTCATCAACAGAAGTGTTCATGTTTGCTCGTTTATCTTTTCCAAGGCAGATAAGAACAGTTTCTTTATTTTGCACCATATTTGTTTCACTCAACAGCCTTTAAAGCTGGCCATCACTAAAATGTAAACCTTAAAAATAAAAAGGGTCAAATGAAATAAAATTTACAGGTTTGTTCCCAGTTTTTTTTAATAATCTGAAAGTTTCTAAAGTGGCATCTACTCTGAGCTGATTAAATCCTCTAGGAGAGGCATGTCTCTGTTTCTTATCTCTCACCAAGGTGATAAAGCCATGCCACATTTTTATTTAGCAGCAGCATTTCAAGGAACATGGCCATTTATGTTTGACCTATTTATGTATCTATTTAACGTCCTAGTAACAAGATGAAACCGTGCTATTAATCACTCATTCTGTGCTTCATTTATTTTTCGTTTAGCTGTCCTCGGCAGTTCGTCTTATTGCAAACATCTAATAGATAAACATTAATAACTGGCAGACTTGTGTCAACAAAATCTGTTATTTATTCAACTAAGTGGAAATGGTGCTGCCTTCTAAGTCCCCAATAATGAATTTTGCATCACATCTTCTTCGTAATGACATTATTCATGAGTAAAATAAATAAAACAATGGCGCTGTTCTTTAACGTTTTGAGTATAAACAGTCAGACCCCAGACTAGAGACCCAGACTTTTGAGAGGAAGCGCGGGTAATTCTGAGCCATTTGAGACTCTTTACTTCATCAGCATAAAACAAACAATTGCAACCATATGAGCTTAACATCTTCCCCTCCCTGTTTTTACAGCTCTGCGTATGACACTGTGACGGATATGAATGTCGCTGTGAAGAAACTCTCTCGACCCTTTCAGTCCATCATCCACGCTAAAAGAACGTACCGAGAGCTGCGGCTGCTTAAACACATGAAGCATGAGAATGTAGGTGCTTTTCTTTTTGTTTTGCTTTTTCTGGAGTTAAAATACAGATACACCCAATACTTGTTTAAAAACAAATGTTTGTGTTTCTGCAGGTCATCGGCCTCTTGGATGTTTTCACACCAGCTACTCATCTGAAGTACTTCACTGATCTGTAAGTTGAGTCTGTGTGTTTTGAAACAATTATCTCATTGCAGCTCTAGTTGTACATATTTTAATGACTTGTTGTCGAGATGGGTCACGCTGTGCTTGGAAGCACGTGGAGTTGCACCAGCAGCCTCAGGAATGTTGTTTTAGACAGCCTGCTCTACTACTTGCTCACTTTTGCTGCTACTACAGTTGTTTTATCACCAGCTTTCTAAAACATGTTGTTGCTGCAGAACAAATATTATTTTATTCGTTGAAAGCTGTAAAAAAAAAAAACAATTAAAAGGAAGTGAGCAGCTAGATGGCAGCTCAGTCCTCAGATGTGCAGCACTCACAGACCTGCGCTATTATCTTTGGTTAAACAACATCGCAAAAGGTTTTAAAGGTAGTGGCCGGACCCGGCATTAAAATTGTAGAAATGCAGTATAACTACACTTTACCATCTATATAAATACAAACTGGGTTCAGTTTTACATTTCGTTAAGGAATTTAGTAATAAATCTTTACAGAAAACCAAAATTCTCTCCTCCAGGCATTGAAGGACTGTGTTTTGCATCCGCACGTCATACTAGGTAGCTGCAGTTGCTAGCATGGTAAATCACTATATTTTGTTTACTATCGTGTTCCTAATTAAAACAGAAAATTGCGTTTACAGCTGCAGCTAAAGGTCTGAGCCATATGTCCGTGTCCTACACGTATTTTTAACTGACATAGGTTTGATCTAAAATAATAACCTACATCTATAAATCCATTTAGAACCGCACCGGTACTTCTGGACTCCAGCAGGCAAGTCCCGTTAGCATGACTGCTGCAGCACGAACCGTGTTGGCTCCGGTAAAGAACAAGTAATTTGTGAAAGCTACGGCACACACACACACACACACACACACACGCACACACACACACACACACAGATATAATCTAAAAGATGATCCCCATTTTTCAACAATAGATCCTCCTATAGGACCGGTAGAACCTCCGTGTCATCCTGGCTTAGAAAACAACGATCCGAGCTAGCGAGTTAGCATCAGGAAGATTTATTCTGCTAAGGAATCGGTTAAATTTTTTCCGATGTTATATCAATTAAATACACACAGCGGTAAAGCTGGCAACACGTTATTTTACTCATCTGTAGATTACTGAATTATATTGGGACAATATGATGGAGCTAATCAGCTGAGAACTTAACTGAAAGCTACCGGTGGAGCACAGACATGAAATATTTAACAAACTGTACCGATTTTGTTTCCGAAGACGAACAGAATCCTCCCCGGTGTCCTAATCGGGCGGCGAGTTTTCTGAGTGAAACGGCCAAAAGCATGTCTGCACTAGGGATGCACCGATGGATCGGCATTTGATCGTAATCGGCCGATAGCGCCCCTATCGGTTTTGATCGGAATTTTCAAAATAGATCAAAGCAAACCGATCAGGTAGGGTTGTCACGGTAACCAGTGTAGCGTAAACCCCAGTAAAAAAAAAAAAAGTTGACAATAATAATAACCGTCTTGTTTTTTAAAAAACTATATTATCTTGGTGGGTTTACCGTGGCTGCGGTGTAGGCGCGGTGACCCTTACCAGCCACCGTATCATCGGCTGAAGTTGCCGGCGGCACATGCGCGCATTGTTTACAACAAAACTTTCTTGAAGCTAAAGCTGAAATAATGGTCAAAGGAGGAGACGGCAGCGCTCAGGACATTTATTATCCCTCAAAGAAGACAAAGTGGGAAGTACGGGCATGTTTTAGATATCTGAAGAATGCCGAGGGAGTTTATAGAAGACGGACGTACGGCTATCCTGTTTGCAGCGCGAGCAGAAAAAGTGTCTGTGAAAGGCAGCAACGCTTCAAATCTCATGACACATCTGCGTGACCATTAGGGCTGTAGCGAAGCCTCGACTACGTCGACGGCTCGATTCTAAAAATTTGTCGACGTCAGATCCGGAAGTCGACGCACCGCGCCCACTTGTTGCATCCCCAGGAGTTTGTAAATAGTGGAGGAATCTGCCTGTTTTTCCTCTAGTTCGCCCTCTTCTCCGCCTTCACTAACATCTCCGCCAAATACCGAAGACCCGGAACAACGTCCGTCCACTACTAGATTATTTTCCTGTTTTGCCCGCCTTTGTCTCCCGGCAACGGACAACAACTTCCGGGGTCAGATGCGCTGCTTCGTGTCTATCGCAGATGTAGAAAATCACCGGGAGCGCTTCTCCCTTCATTAAGGAGCTTCTTTCAGACACGAGGAGAGCTGTTTTGGTGGTAGCGGTCTCTCCTCCATGCTGGTCTGTTTGCTGCTGGGTGTTTTTGGTTTATTTAAACTTGGTAACTTGAACTTAACGTTGGTAAAGCTACTGTTAGCATCTTCGCTAACAGCTTCTTGCGTTGGGATAAGCTGTTACGTTTTGGTTTAGAGTTCATCTTTTTTGTGGTGTAGATCTCCCTTTCATTACATTTAGAGTGTTGTGGGTTTTCGGTTTAGTGTAAAATATCACCTGAGTTTGGTTTAACCCGTAACACCACTCGCCTCACGCACATAAGTGACCAAAACAAAGCAGCATGGAGACACTCCATCTTCTACCACCTCTCAGGCAGCAGCCTGCACTCCCAAGTTCTACACGTCACCAGAACATAACCAACCAACACAATAAAAGCAGTGTTATACAAAATGGAAGGCCTGTAGTGTTTATTCTCTTACAGTAACAATTTATCAAATTTTTTGAGGAATTTATTTGAGATTTTCTGGTTTTTGTTAATTGTGCAATAGAAAAATAATCATTAGATTAATTTTCTAAATAGTCATTAGAATAGTCGACTATTCGATAAAATAATCGTCAGAATAATCGTTATAAAAATAATCGTTTACCCCCAGCCCTAGTGACCATCACCCACAACTCTACAGTCAACGCAAGACAAGCTAACGTTAGCGTTTTAGCTAAAATGCGTGATCCGAGGCTTTGGGTTGAGGGAGAACGCAACGAGTCGCTCTATAAAGCAGCCGCAGCGCCGCTACCTGCATGTAAACCGTGTCGCGGACACCCCCATGTTGAAATGACGCTATGCATTACGGGGCTCCCAGGGGCAGATAAGAGTTGGTCTCTCTCCGAGAATAATTATGAATTTAACAATGATTACTGCCTGATGACATTTTCCCACATCTGCAAAGCTCACTGGAAGGACACAAACCGAGGACAATACTTTCCTGATATAGGGTTTATTACTCAAGTAAGGGTAAAAAAGTATCTGATTAGAAGGCTACTGGAGTACTGAGTATCATCTGGTCTAATATATTTAAAATGATGACTTCAGACAGACATAAAATAAGAAGTTATGGACAAATATTGGTATTTTAAAGGCTAAAGGGGAAAATGTAAACAAATAAACAACATAATTACAAAATAACTAATTTTAGGCTAAATTTAGACACAAACTGAGGACAATATTTCCTGACATACAGGGTTTATTTAGTTGTGTGAAAATGTAGCACGTTTAAAAAAAATACCGCGATAATACCGAAAACCGTGGTAATTTTGGTCACAATAACCGTGAGGTTAAATTTTCACACCGTGACAGCCCTAATACAGACTATTTTAGATTAGGTTACATTTCCTTTATTCCCAGATTATGTAGTTTGTAGCACTCATTATAATGTTGTCGAAAATTTCTGGCCAATCCACGTGATCGGTATCGGTGATCGGTATCGGTGATCAGCAGTCTTTGATATCGGTATCGGTGATCGGCAGCAAAAAACCTGATCGGTGCATCCCTAGTCTGCACCTCCGGTTCTGATATCCAGCTGCAGGGCACGGAGTTCGGTTGAACGTCTCCGGTAATCCAATGTCCGTTCTTACCGCCATATCCCAGAGAGATAAAAACAAATCTGACAGACTAGTAGAGGCTTCAGAAGCTTCACCTGACTGATGACACATTGTTCTCTGCTATAACGCTAACACAGAAACACCGGAGTCAGGCGTTGCTTACTATCGCTGTTTCAGCAGAGCACCTTGTGAAACGTCACCAGCTGCCCAGGGCTTAGACCGGAAGTTAGTTTCTGTTTTTCCCGCGCCAGTAAAAAACATCAGATTTTCTTAAAATTCCAGTCACGAAAATCCAGAAACCTTTTTCATCTGAGGTTTTAATACTTCTTTACACATGCCATTCAAAGGAATTTTGCCTCTGGCTAATATCTTGAAGCAATCATCGTCCGTGGAACTGAAGGAAGGAGGAAAAACATGAAAGCTTATGGACATCTTGTAATGTTCTAACGGGAGAATCCAGTCTGTTTCCATGTATCTGGTTTCCATGGAGCACCTGAGTGCTTGTTGGTTTTCATCTCTACATATGCAGAAAAGGAAATGCTGCATGTCGATTTATGTCCTTTAATGTCTGCTCAAGTAATTCTCAAATGTAACGCAGGTGTAAACAATCATTCTATGAATAGTTGTTTTGTGGGGATTCCCAGTTCAGTTTCTTTCAGTTACCGACCCAGATCCTATTCATCTTCTAGTTACTTTATTTGATGGATAGGAAACAAAAAATTATTAATAAAAAAATAGTAGAGATGTTTCCATCACTTCTTTTTGCTCCCGATCCAATTCTGAGTCATTTGATTCTGACCACCTGCCAATACGAGTCCCGATCTGATTTTTAGGAAAGCATTAAAATAGGAAGAAAAGCACATCCAAGTTTTTCTTTAAGCTTTACTTTCACTTGTTTAGAAAGTGCATTGATTATAAACATGCTAGTATTATGAACGTTTTTAAAAGTAGCAGCGTTGCTCATATTTGAAGTTGTTGAGCGATTAGCATTCGTGTGACGGTGCAGGCACGCAGAGTTTCGTCAGGTAGAACGTTTCCCTGCATAACACCTTTAGCTACTGGGGCAGCTCTAGTGCTACAGCAGACTTAAGAAAACCTGATGTTTGCCGTCTATTGGCAATTTCTCTTTCTTAGCGTATCTTTCTCGGTCTGACGGTTTTGCGTTTTTGTCTTGAGTTTGCGGTGAACTGGGTCTGTTAATGGCAAACTGGGAATTAATGGAGACCAGTGATTTGCTTTGTTGATGCCTGAGGTGAAAAGCCGAAGTGAAAGTAGTTTGTTTGAAAGCAGCGACTCATAGAGCTGTGTTATTTCCTGCATGTTGAATGATCAGTATGCACATATTACAAGTGGCTGTTGCTCAGCCTTCGCTGTCCGGTTTAAAACGCCACCAAACCAAGCTGAAGATATTTTAGCTCTCCTGTGGAGACATGTTAGCTCTGCATTAGCCTGCTTGCTAACAGGTGCATCTTATCTGAATTCCTGCCAGCCATAAATTGTTTTTTTGTACAAGAAACAAATATATTGATGCACAGGTGTCAAACCTGTGTGAGGGCCGCTATCCCACACGTTTTTTTTTTCCTGTTTCAACACACCTGATTTCAATCAGCAGGTAATTAACAGGCTTCTGGAAAGCTTGATGAGCTGCTGCACAGGTGAATCAACTGTGTTGGATCCGGGAAACAACAAAAAGATGCAGAATATCAGCAACAGGACTGGAGTTTGACTCCCAAGTTATGAAATAAAAACTACGTCATTGTTACCCCATTTAAAAATCTTTATCTTAGGATGAATTCAAAATGTCATGTTTGTTGTTTTTAAAGGCTAAATCTGATTCTTTTCTCCAGATTATTTTATTTATTTTTTTAAATGACAGGATTGGGCCCCATTTCAGATCACGTGATGGGAATGGAGCGTCCCTAAAAGTTGTTGATGGGATGTATTTTACGTGGACAGTCGTTTCTTCTTTGGACCGTTTTGCTTCATGTGTTATTGGTCGCTACTAAATAATCTATTCTTTGATATCAGACATAAGTTCAATTCAAGTTTATTTATATAGCGCCAAATCAAGACAAGAGTCGTCTCAAGGCACTTCACATAGTAAACATTCCAATACAGGTCAGTTCATTAAGCCAATCAGTAAAAAGTTTCCTATATAAGGAACCCAGCAAAGTCCATCGAGTCACTGACTAGCAGAGGTGTGGACTCGAGTCACATGACTTGGACTTGAGTCAGACTCGAGTCATTATTTTAATGACTTATGACTTGACTTGATAAAATCTATAAAGACTTGACTCGGACTTGAATGTCAATGACTTGCGACTTGAATCGACTTGCATCTGTTGACTTGATGATGACATGAGCATATTTGATATTTTAGCACAAAAGTGGCACGACATGGACAAAAATCATAAATCGTCCTTGGTTCTGGGTTTGATCTCGTACTGCTAAATGCAGCAGCACTTTGTTTATAATCGGTTTCAGTTGCACTTCTTGCTTGTTTGTGCAAATAATTGAAGCTTTAAGAAGCTTTATTTCTGGAGTTTATTTATTATCATCATCATTAAATTGAAGTTGGACAGATGACTTGATTACAACTTAAAAAATTCAAAGTTAAGGAGTTGGACTTGACTTGGACTTCCAGATCATTGACTTTGGACTCTACTTGGACTTGGCTGTCTTTGACTTGGACTTGACTCGAGACTTGACTGGAAAGACTTGCGACTTGCATACAAGTGACTTGGTCACACCTCTGCTGACTGTCGGTGTCTTCACAGCAATCCTCACACTAAGCAAGCATGCATGTAAATGGTTATAGAACAGTTTAAAATATTGGTCATTAATAATGCAATATTACAGGTGCTGGCCAGTAAATTAGAATATCATCAAAAGGTTGAAAATATTTCAGTAATTCCATTCAAAACGTGAAACTTGTACATTATATTCATGCAATGCACACAGACCAATGTATTTCCGATGTTTATTACGTTTAATTTTGATATTTATAGGTGACAACCAATGAAAACATCAAATCTGGTATCTCAGAAAATTAGAATATTCTAAAGGCCAATGAAAAAATGTTTGTTTCTCTAATGTTGGCCAACTGAAAAGAATGAACATGAAAAGAATGTGCATGTATAGCACTCAATACTTAGTCGGGGCTCCTTTTGCCTCAATAACTGCAGTAATGCGGCGTGGCATGGACTCGATCAGTCTGTGGCACTGCTCAGGTGTTATGAGAGCCCAGGTTGCTCTGATAGTCGTCTTCAGCTCCTCTGCATTGTTGGGTCTAGCGTATTGCATCCTCCGCTTCACAATACCCCATAGATTTTCTATGGGGTTAAGGTCAGGCGAGTTTGCTGGCCAATCAAGGACAGGGATACCATGGTCCTTGAACCAGGTGCTGGTGGTTTTGGCACTGTGTGCAGGTGCCAAGTCCTGTTGAAAGGTGAAGTCTGCATCCCCATAAAGTTGGTCAGCAGCAGGAAGCATGAAGTGCTCTAAAACCTCCTGGTAGACGGCTGCATTGACCCTGGACCTCAGGAAACAGAGTGGGCCAACACCGGCAGATGACATGGCACCCCACACCATCACTGACGGTGGAAACTTTACACTGGACCTCATGCAACGTGGATTCTGTGCTTCTCCGCTCTTCCTCCAGACTCTGGGTCCTTGATTTCCAAAGGAAATGCAGAACTTGCTTTCATCAGAAAACATAACTTTGGACCACTCAGCATCAGTCCAGTCCTTTTTGTCCTTGGCCCAGGCGAGACGCTTCTTGCGCTGTTTCTTGTTCAAGAGTGGCTTGACACACGGAATGTGACACCTGAATCCCATGTCTTTCATGAGTCTCCTCGTGGTGGTTCTTGAAGCGCTGACTCCAGCTGCAGTCCACTCTTTGTGGATCTCCCCCACATTTTTGAATGGGTTTGTCATCACAATTCTCTGCAGGGTGCGGTTATCCCTAGAGCTTGTACACTTTTTTCTACCACATTTTTTCCGTCCCTTCGCCTGTCTGTTAATGTGCTTGGACACAGAGCTCTGCGAACAGCCAGCTTCTTTAGCAATCACCTTTTGTGTCTTGCCCTCCTTGTGCAAGGTGTCAATGATTGTCTTTTGGACAGCTGTTAAGTCAGAAGTCTTCCCCATGATTGTGGTGCCTTCAAAACAAGACTGAGGGACCTTTTAAAGGCCTTTGCAGGTGTTTTGAGTAAATCAGCTGATTAGAGTGGCAGCAGGTGTCTTCTATATTCAGCCTTTTCAGAATATTCTAATTTTTTGAGATACCAAATTTGGAGTTTTCATTAGTTGTCACTTATGAATATCAAAGTTAAATGTAATGAACATTGGAAATACATTGGTCTGTGTGCATTGCATGAATATAATGTACAAGTTTCACGTTTTGAATGGAATTACTGAAATATTTTCAACCTTTTGATGATATTCTAATTTACTGGCCAGCACCTGTAAGGAAGGTAGGCCAAAGGTGAAACTCGCTCATAACATCTATTTAATCTCTCAATCGTGGCCCAATCACAAATGGACTAAAGATTACCGTCTGGTCGCCACACATGATTTTGTTTTCGGTGTAGTCACACTCAAAGGTGGCACATCATATTTATTTATCGTTTTTTGTCAGTTTTGTCTTTCCAACTAGCTCTTGGTTGTCAGGTCATGTTGAAATAAGCTTCCAGAGATGGATCAATAAAATGTTCCAATGTGTAAGAACTCCTATTTGCCTCCATCCGATTTGATGTTTCAGGTTTGAAATGATGTGAAATTTCTTTTAGAGACTTAATAAAATAGTGAGAAAGCAGTCCATGATTCAATCAAAAGGGTTTAATTTCAATATTGCAATATCGAAATGAGGAGATCGTCACAGAGGCTCTTCCCAAAGCAGCCTCAGGAGTGAGTCCTGCTCAGCAGAGGCCCCCACACTCTATATATTCCACTTGAATCCCCCTCACCCAAAGAGAGAACAAATGAAGGCCCTACAGTGATGTGTAGGGCTGATCTGGACCCATACCTTGGGGCTGTGCTTACAAGAGACAGGAGTGTAAATGATGCTTCTCTTGCTCTTTGAAGCAGAACTCTCAGGAAACTGTTGCTAAAAAGAAAAACTTTTAGGGCTGCCATAAAACCCAACTACTCTGGCCCCACTGTAAGTTTGTAAGGGTCAAATAAATGAGAGAAATCTAATTTATCTATTACAGAAACATGTTAACTAGTCTGCTGCTCCTAATAGAAACTCTTCACCTCTTTTAGAAACGACGACTTTGATTGGCCTGAAAAACCCAATCTTCCTCCAAGATTAGCTCAGTATTATTTAGCTGAGGGTTACAGAGTTCATATGGAGGAAGAATTAGTGAATCTGTCGGAGATACTGCAACATATAAAGAAAACGTAGGTGCTCTAAGTGACAATAATCTTGTTCCTAAATTACAAATAGATAAAAAGCGAGTTTCTGCAGGAGCTAAGCACCAGTGGTTCTCCTGGCATGTCCCCGCTGCTTTTACACAAGAGGGGAAAACAGAGGTCACTATTTATATGCTTTTTTCCAAGGCGGGTGAACTTTTGAGAGCATCTGTCCCAGTGTATCCACTGTTAAATCATGCAAAACTCCTATTTTAAGCCCTCATTCTCAACTTTCTGTGAGAATAAAAGATTCATGAACTTTGCAGAAGCAGAGGCCTCTGAGTTTTGCCTCCATTATTGCTTTTCTGTTGTTGTCTGTCATGCTGTTGGTTATTTTAAACCGCTCTGGGATTAGATGTAAATATCTGCTGATGCAGCCCCATTAAGCTCATTCGTCTAGTGTGTTTACTCTGTGACATTCCATTTGTTAAGGGCTTGACCTTTTAGTACCTTTGGAGAGAAGTGAAAATGAAGAGAAGTTGCACCAAATCCAATTTATGTGGAAAATTAGCTTCAGGCTGCAAATAAAACAAGTAAAATTAGCTTCACAGAGCAAATTACTTCATTTTAAACCCATCTGGCTTCGTATGAGTCCTAGAAATATTGATGTGAATTTAAACCCCTGTGATTGCCAGGTATCTTGTGACTCACCTGATGGGAGCAGATGTCAACAACATTGTGAAATGTCAACGACTCACAGATGACCACGTGCAGTTCCTCATTTATCAGATCCTCCGAGGATTAAAGGTGGGGTTATTTATTTTTGGCAAATTGCCTTTTTGTTTACAGTTGCATAAATATCAATTTAAAACCGTATAACTGGAAATCTAGCAGCAACAAAACCTGAGCATTTCTTTTGGCCTCATTGTGAAACATTCTACCTGGTTCCGTCCTCTTCAGCTGCTCCGGGCCACCACGTTTTACTGAGCTGTGACCTCATGGGCCGAAAACTGCTAACACAAAAATGTCAAATCAAAGCGACTTTATAATGGAGCTGTGCTGTGCTAGCTTTGGGTGGGGCTGACATTGAAGTGATTACAGCGTCTTGATTAATTTACAATTATATGAAAGTGATGGAATACAACTGCCTTGAGTTTGGATCTGGGGGCTGTTCCAGAAAACGAACCAATCCCCAAAACCAGACTTTCTTTTGAAAATCCTGGTTTAACTGCCCCAAAATCGGCTTTACGGACGTGGCTAGCCTGAAGCCCCTCCCATTCACTATGGTATTGGTAACACATGCTGGAGAACAAACCTGCTCAGTGGCAGGCTTGCAGCTTGGTTTGCTGAAGTTTGGTGACTATGATTGGACGAGGCTGGCAATAACGAAGTGGTGAATTAGCGACACTGCTGGCCCACAGCGGCGGCTGCAGCTTTGCTTTTGATGGCTAATTTATTAACTCATTCACTGCCAAGTCGTCATTTGCATTTTTTTACTGTGTGGGCATCGGAACGAGCCCCTGCATTGTGAGAACAAACATCTCGGCTCTAAAGCTGATCTTCATCCGCATACGTCACACGTCACGTGATCAGGAAGCAGATAATCCATGTGTTAGGAGATTGTTTTGGGCCACTGCTGTAAAAAAAGTGAGGCACAAACCAGAAAAGCTTCTGCCGATCACAATTCGACAACGGATTAGTAAAGAACGGATAACGCTCGAAACGTGCGGATTCTTCCTGATGTAAGAGGTGAGTCTCCGCTTTGTTTTGGTGGTTTTGGCGTCGACATCATCCTAGCACGCAACGTTCTGTGGCTTAAAAAAACAGTAAAAATGGTGAGAAACGCTGGCAGCAAATGAGTTAATAAATGTGGAGTTTAAAACTTTTAAAATTGAGCTCTAATTGGATTTATCTTAACATTCTTTGTATTTGATCCTCATTTGCAGCCAGGAGCGTTTCATTCCACTGATGTTGCTCCTGATGTCATCATTATTAATAAGTATAATTATATGTCAGCTTTTGTATCTGATGGACCCATATAATTAACATGCTGTCCTCTTTATGAATATGCTAAAATAGCCTTAAACTACCTTACAGCTACTAACATAATACATATGTAATATGAAATACTTTATTGATGATGTGATTATATATTTTAACAACATGTACTCTGGTGACACGTGTCAAACACGGTAATCTTTGTTCTAAATTACACGTGATGCCTTTACCTTTGTGTGTGTAATATGAAAGATGAATGTTTGTGATGTAACGGTGTACAGCAATTACTTTTGGGTCACATGACCTCCATGAACGTATTCTTAAAAGTCATAGCTGCTCAGCAAAAACAAAGTGCTCCAGTTTCTAAACATCCAGACTCTGGAACCGAACACGAAAACGACACATAAATGATGAAAACTTGAATAAAATAAGTGGAGGAACAGGAGCTGAAGGGGACATCTGGCATTGCCATGGAAACATGTAAACGCTGAGCGTTTTAATGCCAGTTACACAGCTTTAATCAAGCAACTGGTAGTCTCTGTTTTAGTTCTGATATCTTTGTAGTCCTCGTAGGAATGATTGAATAATTCTTCCTCTGTCTGGGAGAAAAACGAGTCTCTGTCCTTCCATTCTCGTTTATCTAGCATCGATTAACGGGCTGTCTATGGACGCGTGTGAGCCTCGCTTGAATTACAAGGGATTGGATCCACCTGAGAACCGTACATGGAGCCGGCGAAACTTGGAGGGAAGGGGAGCGCTTTGTCAAGCAGGGATTTATCAGGAAAGCCTCGATGTTCTAAACTCACATTCTGTAACACCCCCCGATCCTGAAATGATGTATACATAAATAAATAGTTCAATTTAAATGAAAACGGCGTTGGGTCAGAGTTCGTTATAAGGTGACGTCACAACATGGCTTTAGAAAACTGCTAGGACTAAAATACTAAAGTGTTAATATAGGATGCATATAAAATAAACAATCGTTACGCTGAAATGTTCGTGTTGGTCTTTTAGGTTTTATCGCAGGCTTAACCAGTCCCTCAGGTTCTGAACTGCTTTCCTCCAAACACTCGAGTTGTTGCCATCAGCATCTTTGTGGCCCAGAGTTTAGTTTCATTTCTTTGTTTCATCCCAAAGCGAATCCTGTTTCACTGTCGTTGGCTTTAAGTTTCCGCAGATGTTTACCGACACTCCTCCTTCTGTCCTCCCAGGTGACAGCAGCAGGAGGTTATTGTGTTTATTTAGGAACGATGCATGCACAGCCGTGCTGGAAGGGTGGAGTTCACTGTTTTTCCTTGAGATGTTTAAAACTCTTCCTACGATGCAGAATAAAATCTTTTAAGATGGAACTTTCAGATCAAAATATCTTGCAGCTTTTTAGGGTTTATAGATATTAAATATTGTTTCATAGATTTAAAACAGGCTTAGGGATTTTTTAAAGCTGTTGGGCAGTTATTGCTGGCCTAATAGACAAAAATAAAACTGATTATTTAATGTTTTTTAAAGTAGGAAAGGAGATGAATCATTGATTTTTTTTGTCATTCAGACTCTGTGCTTCAGGCCTTTTTTTTTTTTTTAATCAATCCAGACTGATGTAAATTCCTCTCTCTCTGCAGTACATCCACTCAGCAGACATCATTCACAGAGTAAGTGTCTCTGGCTGTTGTTTTACCGATGCTGCTTAGAGGTTTATGGTCCTCGTATTTGGCTGTCACGATTCTGTGCAAATATAAAAAGTTGGGAGATATGAGACTTTGTGTTAATTGTGAAAAAAAAAAAAACATGATTTAATTTCTAATACCCTGTTTTTTCCCCCCAAGATGACCAATTTACCGTTAGCTAAACTTTGACACCCGGTGCGTTCTTCCTGCAGGATTTGAAACCAAGCAACCTGGCTGTGAATGAAGACTGTGAGCTGAAGGTAGGAGAATGCATCCAAAACATCAACTTTCATGTAAGGCTGGTGCATTTTCTAAGTGTAAATACCACTCAGATTCTGGACTTTGGCTTGGCCCGACACACGGATGACGAGATGACCGGCTACGTGGCTACCCGTTGGTACCGGGCCCCAGAGATCATGTTGAACTGGATGCATTACAACATGACTGGTAGGGGACATTTTAAAACCAATTCCCTTCTATGTCGTTGTGCGTTCTAATGTTGGTGTCCCTTCTGTGTGTTTCAGTGGATATTTGGTCAGTGGGGTGCATCATGGCAGAGCTTCTCACTGGAAGACCTCTGTTTCCTGGCACAGACCGTATCTTTTCCATTTGGGTTCTGCGCAGCGTTGAAAGCTGGAGCAGATTAAGCAGATATTGGCAACGTAGCACGTTTTTGTTCCATCTTCTTGTGAAAGCCTGTTTTTCTTGGTGCTGCCTGAAGCCATTTACATTTGAGAACTGGAACAGTGGTGGCACATGTTTCCAGTCATAACCTTTACTGTGATCTTTCTACATCGTCTTAGTGAGCTTCTCTGGCTTTGGTCCATATTTTCTGTGTGCTTCTGTTGTTTCAAACAAGGCTCTGCTCACACTTGCTTATATATCACTCTCCTGCTGGCTGTGTTTCCTGGTCAACGTCTGAACTTGTGTTCCAACGTCTGCTGCTGTGAAAACTGTTGCTATAAATCCCCTCTTCCCCCTCCACGGGCTTCGTTCATCGTCCCTGTCTGCAGCTTGATCTAAATGTAACTCGGTGTCAAACATTTCTACTGTAAAGGATGCAGGAGGAACCAGCAGGTCAGCATAAATCCCCCTTCATCCATCATCTGGTCTTCCTTTACCATCTGCTGGTAGACATTGATCAGTTGAAGTTAATCATGACGCTCGTTGGGAGACCAGGCCAAGAGCTTTTGGACAAAATCACTTCAGAGACTGTGAGTTCCCAAAACCGTGCAGTTTTCCTCTTTGCCTCCAAACCTGGCCCTTTGCTGTGCAGCTTAATAGGTCTGATGGCATGATTTCTCTCTCTCTCTCATGAATAAGGTGTTTGCTGTGAGAATGCCTCCTAATGACTTTGATTGCTTTGTCTTCTAAAGCTTGAAGTTTGTTTCTCATCGCAGCATCGTGCTGCACCAGGAGTTGGGTCGCAAATACGTTGGGTTGAGAAACAAACTTCTTAATCACCTCTGCTCTGTTGCTATGATGCCCTTGACACGAGCTTTGTAGATATAAACCAGCTTCAACAGATAATGCGTCTGACAGGAACGCCCCCGGTGACTCTAATAAACAGGATGCCCAGCCATGAGGTGAGAAGGACCCACAGCTGCTTTCTTTACATGGAGCGAGGGGTAGGCCACGGTTTGCTGCTCTGCTCTTGGCCATTAACATTTTGCATTGATGAATCATCTTTTTCTGCTTTTACTTGCCTATGAGCTGCTTGCTGAGTGTAAAATGAGGAGCTTCAGCATCCAGTGGTAATAGTCAGCATTTGGCTCTAGACTGAACCAAATCACTAACTGGAGCCTCAGTGATGCAACAATCATGGGGTTAAAACATGACCCCTGTCTGATCCTTTCTAGCTCTGTTACTGCAGTTGTGTGGTGTTTGACATGCTTGCAGCATGCAGCTGTGACACGTGTTTTTCCTAAGAGCAGTGCTGACATTGTGATGAAAGTGAAAGTGCTGCTGAAAGATTCCTGTGTGGCGATTGTGGTTTCCTAATGAGGATTTTCTGTTTTTAAAGAGAAGTTTTTCTGAGCGCTTCTTTCCGTTTTCCTTCACATTTTATGTTTTTGTATATTTTGTTTCTGCAAGAATTTTTGAAGAAAACTGAATGAAATTTAATCTATTGTTTAACTATTGTTTTTTATAGGAATACAAAGGAGAATAATCCATGCTGCTAATTAGATTTGATTTGATGTAGGATTTTTTTTTGTACTGGTGTATTTCCTCAGGCCAGGAATTACGTCAGCTCTTTGCCAAACATGACCAAGAGGAACTTTGCAGATGTGTTCATTGGTGCCAACCCACTAGGTAATACAAAATAAAATCCATTTATTTTGGGAGTAGACTGACAGTGATTCAGTTCTATCTGTGTGTTACCGTTTCAGCTGTGGACCTTCTGGAGAAAATGCTGGTCCTGGACACAGACCGGAGGATAACTGCTGCCGAGGCGCTGACCCACCCGTACTTTGCTCAGTACCACGACCCGGACGACGAGCCTGAAGCGGAACCATTGGACCAGAGTTTTGAGAGCCAAGATCTGAAGATTGACGAGTGGAGAAGTACGTCATTTTACATAATCATTTGCTGTAACCCCTGGTTGTCAAGAATCTTGATACTTAAATTGCATAAAATGTTCTTGTTTCTTGTAGGATTAACCTACGAGGAGATGTGTAGTTTTGAGCCGCCGGTTGTGGACGAGGATGAGATGGAGTAATGAGATGAGCCACCTGCTTCAACCACAGCCTTTTAGCATGTGCATTAGTGTTCTAGACGCATCATACTGCCTGTCAGATGTTCAGCCAATATTTAAGAAACGGTGAGGTGGTTTTGATCACCTTACAGGAAGTCATTACCAGCACAGAATAAAAACCAAAATCAGTAAAGCTGTAAAAGTTATTTTTATAAACCACTAATGTTGATGTTCTCTAGCTGGAAAATCTCACTTTTTTATTTTTTATTTTTTTTTTTGCCAAAACCATAAATAATTTTATATTTTTCCTCCAAAACAAGGAAGACTTATCACTGTGATGGTGAAATGCTGATACACCTGGACCTATATCTGTGCTGCTTTGTGTGTGTGTGTGTGTGTGTGTGTGTGTTTTTGTCAGTAATTTATGAATAAGCTTTTTTGAATAAGGAATATGCTAATCTATCACACACCTGCTCAAGCTCACAGCATTGGTTCACTTTGTTGCCTTTTTTAAAAATCAACATCTTGTGGATTTGAAAAGATAATGATTTTAACTGGATCGGTTCCTCCTGGAAGCAGGTGGGATGTGATTCAGGACATGTCTGTTGTCATCCCTGAAATTTTGAGCCTGCCAACTGAATTTAATTTAGATTTATTGCTTTAATGTTTGGTGAAGTTCTTACTCAACAGAATCTGAGCCTCTACTGATTAAACATGCTCTTTAACAATGAAAAGAAAAATATTTGTGAAAATTTTTTCTGCTCAAAATATGTAAACATAGTTTGAGATTTGTTTTTGTTTTTAAAGTTATCAGCATTGGCATACATGAATATATTTAGTGTGGTGTTGGTTTACAGAGATTTATAAGTGTTATTCTTTAACCTTTAATGAATGAATGAACTTTAAAGGAGGGATTTGTATTTATACTGCTTTAGGTTATATTTATAAGCAAAAAATGGAAGATCCCTTAATGAATGACTTTTTGGCCCTGCAGCTTGACTGCAATTATCAGTCATTTAGCGAAATAAAGACCTATTTTTAACATGCTTGTGTATGTCATGTTTTTATTTTGGAGGACAGTAAAAATTGGATAAACAAAGATTACTTGGTAATGCTAGTTTCTTAAAAGCAAGCTATAAAGAAATAGAAGCTCATTAAATATATTTGCTTATACCTTTAAGTGGAGCCAAATTAAATATTTAGTTGCGTGTTCATGGTCTCTGCAGCTGTAGAGGAAAAATAACTCCATAAAAAGGATTATCCAGGTGCGAACGTCACTGGCTATCGCTTCCCGTTGGCCAGATGAACCAATGCGCATGCGTGCACCATCGGCTCACTGGTGGAGTAGCTAACTGCTAGGCTACGAATCCAGCCGACATGGAGAGGAAAGGTAAATTTTTACGCGACACCCAGCAGACAGTTTGAGTAAAGTTAATCCATGTGTAGTCGATATCGCTACGCTGTAATAAACACAGCGTTTAGCCAGGCTGCATTTAACGAGACAGTTTTATTCACTGCGTCTGTCGCGCAGTGCTCTGGAGCGAGCTACGCTAGCTCTGTCGGTATTAGCTTTCGCTTCAGTGTCAGGATTAACGCAACACGTCCAGCTTTTCTTCTTTTTCCATTTTAAACCTAAAGCACTGACAGTGTGTTTGAATATGTAGTGTGGTGACTAAGTTCACTTCATGCCGTTATTGGTGTGTTGTAGAGGAGCGGTTGCTTAGGTGTTTAGCTAAATCATGTTACACCGGGGTTCTAGAGGAGAACCTGTATGTGCTGTTAATAAAATGTAAATGGTGCAGCCTCAAAGAATGCACATAATAGTAATCATTATCACAATTATTCGCTTCTATTGCATGTAGATCTAACTAAAGTATGTTTTACTACACATTTTTTCGTGCATGTTTAGCTTGAGTTTCTGCTGCAAAATCAAGACAGCCAAACAATGGCAACATGTTTTGTCTTTTTTCAGTTCTGGCACTCCAGGCCAGGAAGAAGAGATCAAAGGCAAAAAAGACCAACAAAAAGTAAATCCTTCTCCATTTTAACCCCTTGATTCTTTAATGTGTAGAGTTGTGTGTCAGCTGTGTTGAGTTAAAGGGAGTTGTTTGCTGAGGTTAAATAGTTCAAATGATTTAGTGAAAATTTGACCTCAGGAGCCTTAAGTGCATGCTTGCAATGTTGTGTGTTCATGATCCAGAGATTAACTAAATGAGATGATAAAACTCACCGGGTGGTCATTCTAAATCCTGTTTGCTTTAATATTTGTAATTTAATTAACATGAAACATGATTTTGATAAAACATAAACCATCTTCCTGCAAAGACAGTTTGTTCTGTTCTTCAAAACAATGCCAAGCTATGATCATTGTTTAAAATAACCATTCAAAACCACAAACACTGATCCCTAAAACTGATAGTTTGGTGTACTTAACAATCTACTAATCATGCCTGCACCAGTGGCATCCTCCAGAGTGTTATGTAACAGCCTGTGCTATATTTAAAACTAGAGAATCAAGAAGCCCACGTCAACCCGCTGAAGCATGGTGTTTCACAGAAAAACTGCACTCTTAGAAATACTCACACTCTGACTGTGTTCTTGTCGTGGCTCAAACTGCCACATCCATTTGGCATTTTAATTATGTGAGCCTGTAAAAGAAAAAAGCCTCAAACAGTAACAAAACACACCACTACTACACGGTGCGGTCACACCGAGCTGTGTGTGCAAAGGAGCACTGGGACTCTTGGCTACACTGAAGACTGATCCCACAGTTCCTTTATCTGTTGTGTATGAATGGGTTATCTAAACTTAATCATGTGTTTATTCTCTTCCACCCTTCTAGTTTGTTAAACGTTTTATGAAGCTGTGACACAGTGTGGCTGTAAAGACTAAAACAATTTACTTTTACTTGATGCACATTAAATCTACTCGTCTTTTGTCTAAATTAAAACATGATGAACATTACTTTAAAATATATTATTTATATACAGTTGCTTTATTTTAAATGAAAAGAATGATTTTATTTAGAACGATTTAACTGAAAAAAGTTAAGTACTCGTGTAAAAACAAATATTGTGTACAAACTAATATCTTATGATGAAATAATCATCCGTCGTCGATGCTAGTTATGTTTTTTTTCTTTTGCATTAATAAAATAACAGATTGCTTTAAATGTTCCCTTTATTCTTGAAGTTTTGGATTCTGTTAACAATTTCTATGTTTATTGATAAAACTAGAAACATGTTTTATTCATCAGTTCTCTAGATCTGTGCTCCGCCTGATCGATGCTCTGACTTAGCTCGTTTGTTTGCGTTGATTGCTTTCTAACACCCTTCTTTTGTGAATATTTTTTAAAGTATTTGCAAATCGGTAGCATTTTTGAAAAGGCACATCTGATTATTCCTGTTTTTGCATGTTCATAAATATGCAACTCAGTCTGAGGTTGAGGGAACATTTCCATCGCTCCTGCTTCTATGTTTAAGCTTTGGTTACTTTTTTGTAAAATTGATGTAAGGGGACAGAAACCAACTTTATGCTTTTGTGAAATTGAGCACTCGTAATCTAGTCTATCATCTGCGTGTTTCACCAAAGCTGCTTCATTTTTTTAAACACTTGGTTGTCTTTGATGACGAGGTGTGACTGCTCTTGCCCTTTGACCTTTTCCAGTGTTCTTCATTTTGGCTTGCACTTTCACTTTGTGCTTTTCGTGTTGATTTCAGCAAAACAAAATCTTCTATTTCCAGATTAAAGCTGAACCAGATACTTAAAGGGAACAAACACTGACAGTCGCATTTTAATTTGCAGAGAACAAACTTCAAATTAACCAACTGCTCCCATTGACCCTACCGAGGAATAAGCTGTGAACGATGACAACTGCTTGTGTTTGTGTATTTGCAGTTGTGAAGCCCATCCAGACACGTTTAATATGTTTATATTTACTTTAAACTCCTAATTTCTGATCTTTGGTGCTATATTGTGAAATTCCGTAAGCAACAATGCGTTGAATGTTTTGTAAAATAACTGGTAATTGGTTGGACTGTTATCTCCAGGAAAAAACCCATTTTTTTGTCGTTTTGCCCATCAGACAACCAACTAATGTCCAAGCCCGGCAGCAACCCCAACAAGAAACCTCCCCTCAGGAACCAGAGGAACCCGAGGAGATCCTTGGCTCTGATGATGAGGAGCAGGAGGACCCCAACGACTACTGCAAAGGTGCACTGAGGAAACCACTTACCCCAGATAACCAAACAGAACGGTTGAATGGAACATGGCATTATTTCTTTTAGGGAACCAGCATTCACAACAGAGTTGCATCCGTTTATTAGCTCATTTAGAGAAGTTCAAGTGTGAAGTTGCTCATGTGACATTTACATTAGCTTTAAAAGTTGCCCAAGTTATCTAGTAACGAGTCTTAATTGTTTGATTTGCCTGTCATTTAGGCGGATACCACCATGTGAAAGTAGGAGACCTTTACAATGGGAAATACCACGTAATCCGTAAACTGGGCTGGGGACACTTCTCAACCGTGTGGCTCGCCTGGGACATCCAGTATGAGACTAAAACACAGCCTTCTACCATATTGCACACATGTTACTCTACTGTGATATGATCTTGTGTGTTATTTCCTGTTCGCTAACTTCACATGCCTTGTGGTTGCAGAGCTAAACGGTTTGTTGCAATGAAAGTGGTGAAGAGTGCAGAACACTACACAGAAACGGCCGTGGATGAGATCAAACTCCTCAGATCAGTGAGTTACTGAGTTATCTTCGTAATGACCTCATCTGTTTAACTTTTACTGTTAATATATTGTCCCACATGAATAGTTGCAACCAGGTTGGACTGATTAAAAAAATCCTTCATTTATATTTTCATTTTTTAATTGACTCATCCTAGGGCTGTCGCGGTAACCGCAAAAATGAAATATCGCAATATGAAGAAGCCCACCGCGCTGCATCATGGGCCACCGCGATTACTGAACTTGGTTCAACTCAATGATGCATGTTGAGAAGGATGGCTGCACTGGTATCAAAACGAAACGTTACTTCGCTCCTTTGGGAGCACTTTGGTTTTCAGTACGTCAGCTGCTGCGCAGCCAGAGTCCTTGGCCGAGACAGAGCTGCCACCAGCGGCAAAAAAAAAAAAAAAATAAATAAATGAATGCTCGGAGACCTGCTGAAGTCCCGGACAAGCACTGCTTCTGCAACCGTCCCGAAGAGAGTTTGAGCCGAGCTGGAGCTCACTCGCTACCTGCAGGAGGAATGCATGCACCCTAAAGAAACCCCCCTGACATGGTGGAGCAACAACCGGGAGAGATTCCCTTTGCTCGCCAGAGTCGCACGCAGGTACGTGTGCGTTAGTGCAACGAGCGCACCATCCGAGAGGGTTTTCAGTGTTGCTGCAAATGTTGCCACCCCTCTCAGATCCTCTCTCAAACCGTATATGGTTAACATGCTGGTTTTCCTTGTAGGTAACAAGGACGTGACCGAGCTATAAATCACCGTCATTCGTGTGTGTGAAAGTGAAATGATAGTGCGCCCGCCCCCCGGCACGCGCGCGCCCGGTACATGTAATTTTTTATGCTTGATTTTAAACAACTAAACAAAATGGGGACTTGTTTCTTATTTGTTAGATGCTGCAGCCAAATTTGCATTTAAAAGTTTAACCTCCTGAATTTTGTTGTTTTTAAGTTCAGTCGGACTCCGACTGTCGGAGAAACAAACGTTACTGCGATCTGTGTTGTTACTGCCCTTTGATCTGCATTCAGTAAAGTGTTATTAAAGAAGGCACGGCAATTTTTAACCTTTTTTAAATGTGTAAACATTATGTTTAGATAGTACTGCAATAAAAAAAGGGCTGCAATAATATCGCACACCGCAATATTAAGCCACCCTGAATCACCGCAGGGGGAATTCCTCAACCGCGACAGCCCTAACTCATCCTTCACCTTGAATTTTGTCCTCTGAAGAAACCTGAACTATCCACATAAGGTAGTTGACATGCTTAATTACACGTCCAGCACAAGCTCAACAGTTTACACACCAATCCTTGTCACACTCGCATAGTGTGTGTGACACCTCCAAGCACAAACGGCAAACCTGTTTAAGTAAAAATCACCATAAGTAGATATGAATCCTGATAGTTTTGGTAACGTTCTGATTATTTTTCTCCGTTCAGGTGAGAAACTCGGACACAAGTGATCCCAACCGTGAGATGGTGGTTCAGCTGCTAGACGACTTCAAGATCTCTGGTGTCAACGGAACACGTATCCTTCACAATTGAGTCTGGAAAACTTCTGTTTCCCAGTAAAATTAATTATTAATGAAGAAAAAAAGGTTGAAAGCTTGGAGAAAGGGAAGGATTGAATCCTGCTGCGCAGGAAGTAGATGAAAACATAAACATCAGGTGATGGGTGATGTTGAGGAAACTTGTTACCCAAACAGACCTTGGCTGGGTAAGATCCCAGGAATAATAGGGAAAGCTGCAGCTGTAACACGAGCTTCCCCGTGAATAACCTCATGCTCCTTAGACAGTCTCCTGTGAGTTTCCAGTTTGATGTTTCACCTGAAGTTTATTACCACCTTAACTGCTGATCTTCAGACGTCTGCATGGTGTTTGAGGTTCTGGGGCATCACTTATTAAAGTGGATAATAAAGTCCAATTACCAAGGGCTGCCGCAGCCCTGCGTGAAGAGCATCATTAGACAGGTAACAGGACACCTGCAGTTTCACCTTTTTAAGGCCGATGACTCATTATGAAGGTTCTGTTGTAGCTTACAATAGCCTCCGGGCCGTGTGAAAGGTGGAGACCAGTCAGGACAGAGCATGTTGTTAGAACTGATCATGTAAACCGTCAGGAAATCTAGTCACGCAACTTGACAGTGACAAAGTGTTTTCAAGGTGATCTCAGCCTCCGTGGAACAAACGGCTCATTCTTTCGGTTCCTGTTACAGGACTCTGTTGTGTTGGAACTTTATGCTTCTGTAAACTTTGACTGGCAAATCTTAGCATTTATAACTCTTACACTTTTTTTTCACATTGCTTTGACTTGTTTACCTTTTGACAGACATGTTGGCTTTTTGTTCTTACTGAAAAACTAAGGGAAGAGTTTTTGTGTCCTTTCTGCTGTAAGAGTATTTACACAAACACCGATGCATGATAGCGGACTTTTTCACAACAATCGGTTGTTTTCCTCTTTAAATTTTAAATGCTGTGTTCCCCTTTTTAAATCTAGAGCATGATAAACATCGTTAGATTGCATTAATACAGCAGCAGAGCAGGATTCCTGCAGCAGAACTCTCAGGTGCACTTGGAAACGCAGAGAGAGTAAATCGGCTCAGAGGCAATACCATCCATTTTTGTCCGTTTATCCGGGCTTGGGTCCTGGGGGCAGTAGCCTAAGCAGGGAGGCCCAGACTTTCCTCTCCCCAGCCACTTAGGCCAGCTCCTCCGGGGGAATCCTAAGGCAGTCCCATGCCAGCTGAGAGACGTAGTCCCTCCAGCCTGTCCTGGGTCTTCTTTTAGGTTTTCTCCAGGTTGGACGTGCCTGGAAAACCTCACCAGGGAGGCATCCAGGAGGCATCATTACTAGATGCCCAAGCCACCTCAACTGGCTCCTCTCGATGTGGAGGAGCAGCGGGTCTACTCCCTCTCAGATGACTGAGCTTCTCATCCTTTCTCTAAGGGAAAGCCCAGCCACCCAGCGGAGAAAACTAATTTCAGCCACAATATCAGCAATATTTAGAAAAGTCTCATCCTAAAGATTTGATCTTTACATCCAGTCGCCTCTTATCAGTGAGCCCCAGGGCAGCTGTGGCTACATTGTAGCTCATCACCACCCGTGTTTGAATGTGTGAATGTGTGTGAATGGATGAATGATACACTGTATTGTAAAGTGCTTTGGAGTCCTTACTCTGAGAGGCGCTATACAAGTGCGGGTCATTTATCATTTATTTATTTATTTACGAGGTTCTTCAAGGCCTGGACTACTTGCACACCAAGTGTCAGATCATCCACACCGACATCAAGCCAGAAAATATCCTGATGAGCGTCGACGAGCCGTACGTCCGGAAGCTTGCAGCTGAGGCCACAGAGTGGCAGCGAGCCGGGGCGCCCCCTCCCTCCGGTTCAGCAAGTAAGACCCACCCACACACATGGCTACGCGTTCAAGCGCAGCTCGGTAAACATTAGCTCATGTTGTGTTCTCTTTACAGTAAGCACAGCGCCGGCTCCTAAACAGGTACCTACGTAATTCATGTATCCCCCTAAACCCCTACGTTTATTTGCACAACACGTCACAACTGTTGACTTTTGTTTTTGTTGTCACGTTTGCTTCAGACTGTGAAAATGTCCAAGAACAAGAAGAAGAAGCTAAAAAAGAAACAGAAACGTCAAGCCGAGTTGCTGGAGAAGTGCATCATGGACTTGGAGGAGATGGAGAAGACCACAGAGACACGGGAGGACAACGAGGAGGACGGGGATGAGAAGGACCCTCAGTCCCCAAAGGGGCGAGCTTGTGCTCCTCTCAGACAGGTGTCTCTTCAGGAGCTAGAGACTGAAGAGAGAGTGGGTAAGAACAAATGAATTTTGTGTAGAGATGGGAATATGTTGCTGGATCCGGCTCATAGAGGCGGATTCCTCTCTTACTGATGCTGTTACTTTGCTTTGCTATGTTAAGGATACGTGAGCTGCTTTTTAGTTTGGCTAATTTTAAATAATCACTTCTTCTGAATCCTCCCAGAGAGCCCTGCAACTACAGATAACAGGATGGGACCAGAGGAGCTGCTGGAGACCAACTGTAACGGCCATGCAGAGGTGGATCAGCGTAAGTCCAAGAGCAGAAAGGAAGACCAACACAATGGAAACGCAGAGTCCCCAGACAAGAAGCCCCTTGTCTACCCTCTGTGTAACGGTGTGGACTCTACAGATTTCAATGAGCCAGACACTGAGACTCAAAGCTGTGGGGCTTACAGCTGTGATGTTACTGAGAGACATCTTCCTGTTGGGCTGGAGGACGGAGACCTGGAACAGAGCATTTTGCAGGAGGAGGATGAAGATGAGATAGGGTGTCATTACAGAATCCAGGAAAGCATGAGGAACGGTCAGTTTAGCAAAACGGGCTCAGTGGAAATAAACGTTGGTTTTTATACTGTAAACAATTTTGTAATTCTCTGCTTTCTGTTTTTTCTCGGGTTTAGGCAAGTTAACAGCAGGCTCCCTGCTGGTTAACCCTCTTGATCCAACCAACGCAGACGAGATCAAGGTCAAGATCGCAGACTTGGGAAATGCTTGCTGGGTGGTGAGCAGCTAACGACTTGAGGGATTTCCTGATTAGGGATAAAAATGTGCTGCTTTGGACAAACGGTTCCATTTTTACTCCAATTTATAACGATTAGCTTCAGTATTCATCCCTCTGTTGGCTCTAGTTCAGTGTTTGGCATGCGTCTGCAGAATAAATGAGTCAGCATAAGATTTGTAAGTCATGCCTCGTCTTTAGGATTGGTTTATTTTCCGTTGCTCCTGTTTTCCAGCACAAACACTTTACAGAAGACATCCAGACGCGACAGTACCGGTCTTTAGAGGTGCTGATCGGTGCAGGATACAGCACACCAGCTGACATATGGAGCACGGCCTGCATGGTGAGACTGCTTAACCATGTTTATTACTGTAAAGCCATTCGAGTGCATCAAAAGGAGACTACTATTTTTTAATTTTTTTATTTTTATTTTTTAAGGGAGAAATTGAATTCTATGTACATTTTTGAGCTTGATTACCTACTAACTCAGCTTGTGTTGGTTTAAATTTAACATCTGAAGTTTATTTCTTATATTTCTTATTTGGCTGATGTGCTGTACACTGGCTGCTGTTCAGAGGCATAATATACTTTAATATATACAGGAGCAAATATTTCTTCAAAATTTGGAACATTTAGAATGTTTCTGCAGCTTTTTTCTACACAAACAGTACAAACTTAGCAGAGTAAGGCCTCATGCTTTATAAAAGTTAGTTTATAAAATTCAATACCTGTTTCAAACACAGCAGCCATTTAACATGTTTATAGCGGAATTAAAAACCCCAATGAGCCAAGTTCCTGTTAACAGCTTCAGTGCTGAGACTAAACTGCATAACAAGACTACTGTTTGATTGAATTTCATCCTGCTGTATAAATCTTGACAGTTTAAGAAGACGTATTTACATGCAGACAGTTGTTGCCGTGGTGATGATTGCGTTGTTTCTTTAGGCCTTTGAGCTGGCCACTGGCGACTACTTGTTTGAACCACATTCTGGTGAAGATTATTCCAGGGATGAAGGTACCGCTGAGTCTTCCTCTTGCTCTCCTCTTAGCAGCATTTATGCTAACTGCTACACCTGTTTGCACTTGAAATCTCTGCTTCAGTGTTGGTGGTAGATTTGAACCATTAATGCTTCTGTATTATTACTGGCTACTATTTCACAGTAGGAGGTTTTGCAGTAATTTTAATTTCACTTCACATAGATGTTAACTTTATTAACAATGAGTCCATCTCAGTGATTTCAGATGTTTTCTAATGTAGAAATGTTTTGATTTCTGTGTTGAAGAAGGCATTCCTGGGTTTATTTCCTTTACAACTCTGGCTTCCTTCTGCCACACTGGAAATGGGGTCACTTGTTCACTTCCTGGTTTATGTCTCACCACTAACTCACCTCTAACATGCTTTCACTCTTCCTAAACATAAACATCTGTGTGCTGCTCTGCTTGAACTGTTTGCTCTCACTCGGTTCGGCTCTGGCACGTTGGGCATGTGCTGCTGGTCAGACTTTGCCCTGGCCCTTTTCTATTTATATAACATGACATCATTCTCGCTCACCTGTTAACCTCTGCTGTCCGTCTCCTGTTCTATTGTTTTATTTTTTATCAGAATGTAAATATTTGAAGATTGTTTTGAGCCTTTTTCATACAAAATGATCTCACGTGTCTACGTAAACTAGTCCTTCCATACATGTGCTTCTCATCATACTAGACTCATCATCATCATCCATTGTTCCTAATCAATTGTTGCATCACCTCCATCTCCAAACTTTTCCTGTGACTCCCTGTCTTCTCCCCCCTCCTCTGATGTGCCTCATTTCCAGACCACCTTGCTCTCATGATAGAGTTGCTGGGTAAAATCCCTCGCCACTATGCGCTGAGTGGGAAATTCTCTCAGGAATACTTCACCAATCGAGGTATGCTACCCCCTCTGTCCGTGGCTCACTCTGGGAAAGGTGGACAGGAGGATAAAGGATCCTGGCAACTTGGCCTCCAAACAAACCCACAGACCAGAAACGGTCTCAGTTCGAACAGAACCATCGGACGCTGATTCTGTAGTTTCCCAAAGAGCTTCTGTGAGAGGCTCATGCTGTTGCCGTGGCTACTTCAAACTCATTCGTTCATAGTTTTCCTCCTACTTCAGTGTGACTTTAAACACATTGATCGGATCTGCATAAAAATAGATTAGCTTATTAATTAGAGGAATGGTCTCAACCTTTTTTCCTGTGTCTAAAACAAGCAACCCCACCTCTTACCTGCATACACACATTAAAAGTAATTAATTACAAACGTTTTATTTGCAAGAAGACCAATGGCCATTGTAGGTTTTTGTACCTATTCCTCTTGCTTACACTGTAGGGCAGAGGTCACCAACCTGTGTGAATTCTAGGGGTTGTACGAACTAGTCGACTAGTCGACTTCACGGCTTTGTAGTGACTTTTTATGCCTGTCATTGACTAGTCGCTGTCACGTGATAATGACTGACAAGATGCAGTCCTCGGAAAAGATAGCAGGTGATGAGCCCCTGCGCGTCTGGATCGAGGCGGAGGCGACGCGCTGTGCGGTACTGACACCGGCGATAAAACGAACATTTAACCAAACTGTGACCTTTTCCCTCTTGCAATTTAACCTTCCCCTCACCCCCATCCTAATCTTAACCAGTTTGCGCATGCAAAGCTCTGATCACTGACGTGCGCTCCAGACATCGGCGTCCTGAGCACCGCCAAATCAGGTGTCACCACCTCAAAAACAAATTAAACACGCGATCGTTCATGTCGGCTCATTTCCTTTCATGTTTTCTGTCTGTTATTTGTGCCTGATGCATTTCGCTGCTGCGGAGCGAGGCTCTTCACCTGTTGTCCTCCGGTGACGCACCCCCAAGATTCCACTATCTCCACTCCGCTCCGCTCCGGCATGAACTCTGCAGCAAAAACTGTCCCGTTGTAGTCGGCCTGCGAGCAGCGGCACTCCGCTGTTTTTGCGGTCGGTAGATCTTTTAGAACTGCAGTTCAAAGGTAACTCATGAGGTGAATATATATGAACCCAGGCAGCAGTTTCTCTTTAGGATTGAGGGGAGATGCAGGAAGATAATAAACAGACAGGACAGAAAAATAGTCAAATGAAAACAAGTTTGTTTTGTACCTGGTGGTTGCAACAAACAGACACCATTGAAGGTAATCAGAAGTGAGGAACAGAAAATGAAATAATTATTTTAATGTTTAGAGCAGCAGGAACTCCGAGAGGCTGCAGGCGCATCAGTGAGTTTGCGGCTACTGCGCAAGGGGAGGGGGGGGGGGACTGAAGTAGGATGCAGAAACTACTGTTGTTAAAAGAGATGTGTTAACTTAGAAAATGTGGGCGCAATTTTAATTGTCAAAAACTCCAGCGAACCTACCGACCCCCCCCCCCCCCCCCCCCCCGGCCGCTTCCGGCGTATGACGTCATCAACGACTAGTCGAAGTCGACTCGACTTTCATTACTTGACTGTCGACTTAAAAAAAAAAATAAAGTCGTGCAGGCCCTAGTGAATTCAATTCAAGTTTATTTATAAAGCGCCAAATCACGACAAGCGTTGCCTCAAGGCACTTCACATATAATAAACATTCCAGTTCAGGTCAGTTCATTAAGCCAGTCAGAAAAAAAGTTTCCTATATAAGGAACCCAGCAAATCGCATCGAACCACTGACTAGTGTCAGTGACTATACAGCAATCCTCATACTAAGCAAGCATGCAGCGGCAGTGGAGAGGAAAACTCCCTTTTAACAGGAAGAAACCTCCAGAGGATCCTGGCTCAGTATAAGCAGCCATCCTCCACGACTCAGAGGATCAAGAAGACAGAAGACACACACACACACACACACACACACACACACACACACACACACACACACACACACACACCCCAAGTGGTGTTTCTATGGTTACATCGTGATTTCTTAGTAAATATTCTCTTTAGTGAGAGATAAACTTTATTGTATTTATCCTAGCGAATCTATAATTAAAAGGGTAAACTAGTAGTAGCACATTCAATGTCAAAGAAAGTAAAAGGTTATTATCAGGAGAGGGAGAATGATTAAATGGTTAGCGGCAGTGTGCTAGACGATGGCCCCCTCCATGAGACCACCACAGCTCAGCAGAACATCATTGTAGCTTCTGGGGAGAAAAACACTTAGAGAAAAAATAAAGTTAACAGCTGACATTGCAGGAAATAATACAGTTAAAGAGCAAATTGTAGAAGAAAGTAGTCGAGTGTGGAAAGTGGTCAGTGTGTCCTCCAGCAGTCTAAGCCTATAGCAGCATAACTACAGAGATAACTCTGGATAACCTAGCCTTTTAGATGTGAAGCTGAGAGCTACTTCACAATTCTTAAGCCTGAACTAGAATAGATCAAACTTTATGTAAAACACATTTTGATTTGTAATTTTAAAATCTATATTAATACATTTGATTTTAAAAGATGGCAGCAGATGTTTTTGAATCCTATTTTAGATTTGTTGTGCTATAGAAAAGGCCTGTGGGCACCTTATATAGTTCCTGGAGATTTTATAATTGACAACCTCATCAAAATCAGCACAGACAGAATTCTGTAGACACCCTGTGGTCTGTGGTGACCCCCTTTATTAGCGTACAACCTACAAGTTAATAGTGGTGAAGACCTCTGTCTACAAACACCACAGATGTAACCATCGTACTTGTCCTTATTCATATCAGTTTTTTAAACAATAATTTACCAAAATGCTGCATTTAAAAACTGGTTTTATTTTTTGAGATCATCTCAGGACCCCAGTTTGGTTTGTCACAACTCCAGCTGGTGTCAGATTGATGCAGAGGGAAGAGTGTAAGGCAATGAAAAGTAAACATATTTTTTGTAATTGGTAACAGTCAAAGGGTTTCTGTGGTGTAATGAGTGAAAAATGTTGCCAAAGCCTTAACTCATTTAAAAACCGCTGTAGCATCTATTCCATCTGTTCAAACTCAAACAGTTAACGTGAGGGTTACTATGAAAATGTTCAGTTGAGTGAAGAAAAGAGTAGAAATTCAATCCAGTTCAGTTAAAAACGGATTAGTCTCAGGGGAGCTTTTGGGTTCTTGACTTGGATCAGAACATGTTATGTTCTGAGGGTTCTGTTCAACTGTGTGGACCTTTGACCCTCTGCCCGCCACACCCAGAGTGGGCCCGTGTCTGAGACACAGTCTGATCGATATGTTGTTTGTCTTCTCCTTCCCTACGTCTGACTGCTGTGTAGATCATATAGCGCTGATCATTGAGCTGCTGGGGAGTGTCCCTCGCAAACTCATAATGACTGGCAAATATTCCAAGGATTTTTTCACCAAGAAAGGTAAAAACAAAGGTGTCAGTGTCGAGTTTAGTGACTTTGTTTTTGTAACTTTATGTTCAAGATAAATATAACAGGAGATGAAAGGATCATTATAACATAAGGTGTTTTCTCAGGTATTTACTTCCACACATCAACTGTTGAGTTGCTGCGTTGTTCTCGGGCATCATTGTGTGTTTGGTTTGTGTGCAGGTGATCTGAAACACATCACCAAGCTGAAGCCATGGGGGCTGCTGGAGGTGCTGATGGAGAAGTACGAATGGCCTCGTGAAGAAGCCGAGTGCTTCTCTGACTTCCTCCTCCCAATGCTGGAGCTGATCCCTGAGAAAAGAGCTACAGCTGCTGAGTGCTTGCGCCACCCCTGGCTCGCCCTCTAGTGGACACCTCCACCTATTGCACCTTTCCTTTCCTCCTACTTCCTCAAAAGACTGCAACAGATCACTTTCCACTTTTGGGCATATCGAATGAATATTTATTTCATTTTTGTTTTGTTTCTTGTCATTGTTGAGCTGTTGCTTCTATGTACATTTTTTTCTGTTAGTCGGTTCTACTTTGGTTCAGGAATCCAGCAGGTTTTTCATTTTTATTAATTTGTGGTCATGTTGGCTCTAGCTGCTGTTCTTTCTCCACCCACCCAGTCAAACTCGTCGTTGTACTGCTAGAGACTCATCCTTGTTTGTTAACACTCCTGCACTAAAACCCCCAACAAATCAAGGACATGTAGCCTTTTATTTATGTCTCCTCAAAAAAAGCTTTGCTACCCCCCCTCTCTAAAAAAAACCCCATTTTCATCAGTGCTGTATTTATTTTTCTTAATGCGTTATTTTATCTCCTAAAATTCGTGTAAGTTATCTGTTTTGTATTTGTAAAGTAGGCTTAGGAAGTTGCACACTGGGCTGACGTTCACACTGACTGGTAACGCTCACAGAATCTCTCTTACACTGTCATGGCGTAGGTTATACGTAGCCTAACGAACCTGCTGCCACCTGGCATTTAGCAGGTTGTTAAGAATAAATGAGATCCTACATGCTCCTGGGAGGCTGGCATTCTCATACACCTATTTACAATTCAGGTAATAAATGTTAAGGAGCCCAGCTAAAAGGAAAAGACGATAGGAAATAAAGTGTATATATCTGTACCAAAGAGTTTGCCTTTATGTATATTACAGTTCTGTACAGTTTTTAACAGATCTTATATCTTAGCTAAACCATTTAGCTGGGTAGCTGTGTTTTATTAAAGTGAACAGAAGATGTGTTTGAGATTTGTTGTGTGTATGGATGTGACTGTTTTTAACCATAGAGGTGGTGAGATCAGGTGTCGATAGAAAAGGTGTACCAAAATCATCATCATCATCATCCTATCAGAGTAAGGCTATGTTATCTGTGGAGACCTAAAGGTGAAACGTACATTCAACAGCATAGACTTAATGTGAGCAGATCAAAATAAAATGTACAACACATCATACAATAAAACCGACCCATCTTTCAGTACACGAGGACTGTGAATTTATTTATTTGGTGACATAAAATGTGGAGGAAACCAAAGTTTGGAAGATGATGGGATGATTCCACATTTCATCAGGATTTTTCTGTAAGGAAAGAAGAAAGAACAATAAAGATACCTTTCTAGAGTTTGGATGAGCTTATTCTGCTGATGTGTGCAGAGAAATGAGTGTGATAACACTATCTGAAGTAGTCTAAATACAAGGAATCAGGAACTTAAAGCTAAAAGAGCTTAAAAGGCACTCTTGGCAGTTGTGCTGGCTTTTAGCACCTTCTAGTGTACGTTATTAAATCTGGTTAAACCGAAAATAAAACTTGCCTCCTCGCTGTGCGTGACATCTTAATCTTAACTGCTGAAATGTCTCCTCAGCCTTCATTAGTGATTCATCACTAAATTAAACTAATCAGCTGTGTTCATGATCTAAAAACAGTGTTTCCCAACTATTTTTTTAAAAGGACCCCGTTTTCTGTGTCCAAGACAAGTCAGGGCCCCCCAACTCCTACATGCATGCTCACTATTAAAAGTGAATAATTACAACTTGCTTGGGGGTCACAGACCCCAGGTTACGAAACCACTGATCTAAAAGATGCAGGAAATGTGCTGAGAGCAGACAGTGCCAGGTATGTCAGCTCATTTAGAAAAAAAATCCTACAGGTGACGGCCGCTACTCTGAAGTTGAAAGTGTGATAATCTGACCACGGGGCGGTAGGGGTCTGAGTGACATTTAATTAACTCAAGGATAATTTTAGCACATATTGGCTCAAGATTTAAAAATGTAAAAGTTGCATAGTATGACTTTAAATATTTACTTTTTAAAAGTATAATGTGTAAACGGGTGAATATTTAACTGATCTGGACTACAGGCTTAAAGAAACTTTAATGCGTGAAGCCTCCATGATGCAGGCGACTGCATTTTATTCTAAAAAGCTCAACATCAGAGAAGACTGGATTATTTCTGCATCTCATGTAAATGTTCTGATTCACCAGTAGTCCTTATGGCTCATAAATACATTAAAATATCACTAAAACTAGAAAGGACTCAATTGAACCAAACACAGTCTGAGAAAATGACCATGACAAAGTTATGAAGCCTATTTTAATTCTCAGCCTCTTAGTAAAGTTCTGCCCTTGTTTCCAGTTAACTTCTCAGGTGTTTTATTGCTCCAGTTTTTTGGTCTATTTAATTTTCCTGTATTTTTTCAGCACCACATTCAAAATGAGCAATTATCTTAAACAGAAACAGAAATGTTCCTCAGTCATGCTAAAAGGACTAAATTTAAAGCATCTGTTTTTGTTGCCACCAACTTCCCTCACCTCCCTCCACCTCAAAGTCATCTGGCAGCAGGCTGTCCTGCCGGTTGCCGAGGGTGAAGGACAGCAGAGCCAGCAGGACGGCATCCAGGATGCTGATGATGGCCAGGATGTAGGCCCAGCGTATGGTGCAGTTTCCCAGGCTGTATTTATCCGTCCTCTGGCCACACATCCTCTTCACTTCTTCAGAGTTCCAGCCGTCTGGGTAGATCATGCAGCCCATCACCATCAACACACCTGCATGATGGAACAAAACACATTTACTTTGATAAACAATCATAAAAATGGCCATTTGCTTCCAGAGTCAAATACAGATCACGGTTTCCTCTAAAATTCTGATTGCATAAGTTCCAGTTTCAGTTTAATGGCATTTGTAAAAGTTTTTATATTCAGACATTGGCTCTGTTTTTGTCTTTATCAGGTTCAGACCAGTTAACACCTCACCAACACCTGATCACCTTACATGAAAGCAATCCTCCATCAGAGGTGTCAGAGCATGAGCTGCAACCTGATCCTCCACCGACCTCAAAGGTGGAGAAGAACATTCACACAATAAAATAAAACAAACAAGGATGTGCAAACGCTGCTCATCGTGGCTTTAATTACATCTCATTTTTTCTGCAGGTTTGACAAAAAGGTGTACTGCTTTATTTGTTATTCTGTTTGGAAAAAAAACCAGAACTTGTTTTAATGATTACTTTTGATGCGCTTTAATTATCTGAGGAGAAAACTCCCAAAATATGATGTAAATACATTTAGTAATCAAATATACACCTAGTTTATATTTTATATTTTAGTTTAACATTTTAAGACATTTAGATATTATATAGATATATAAGACAAATTAGAGCAGATTGGATCATTTTTTGTTGAGGATAACTCTATTTTAATTCTATTTAACTCATTTTTAATCACCATCCAGCCCCATTTTTCCCACTAACTCTGCTGAGTGTGGAAGTGTTTACCTGCGATGGAGGTAATACAGAATAAAGCCCCTGACCTGCGGCCAGCTGCATCCACGCACAGATCTTGTAGACGCTTCCGGCGTTGCAGAAGAAGAATAGGGTGAAGCTGACCATGGTGGCCACCTCCAGCAGCATGGAGGTTCCCACGAAGAACATGGCGGTCCTGAACGCTGGAGACGGGATGGAGTTAAAGTCGAAGACGCTTCCCTTGCAGGTGAGCTCCGATGTGATGGCGTTTCCGATGCAGTAGTGGAAGAGGCCGAAGTAGCCGGCCTGCGGCGTGTTGACGCTGTCGCCGATCCAGTAGGGCTGGATGAAGACCACTATGGTGATGATGGCTAAGGTGATGGTGAACACGGCCCACATGGCGCCGATGGCCCGCGAGTTTCTCACGTAGTTGGTATGGTAGATCTTGGCGGCCTCCTGGGCCGGAAGCAGGTCCATGGTGGCGAGCAGGAAGAACAAAAAGTTTCAAACTTTTAAATAAACGTCCTAAAAAGAAAGTTTTAGATCTTTATTTCAATCCTTTCATGTTCTCCGCAGGTTCACACGCCACAGCACACACTCACGCGCGCACACACACACAGCCTCAGAATCAGGATTCAGCACCCTGGACAGCACCTCAACTTTCAACACGGTGACGTCACTGCAGTAGGAGCGTAAAAACGCCTCCTCACCTGTGCTGCTGGAAGAAAACTCAGCTCTCTTAAGTCTCCTTTGTCCTACAACTTCTTAGGTTTTTGTTTACAGGTGGAAAATCAACAAATAAACAAAGTAAACATAAAAAACGTTTATAACAAAACAGCACGTTCATTTTCTAATGGGATTAGGAAGACTTCATGAAAAGGGAAGAAATACAGTTTTTGAAAAATTTACAGTAAAATAATTAATAAGGGTTAGCATGTACATTTGTGAATGACTGATTGTGTTGTGAAGCGCCTTGGGGGGTTGTAGAATCCTAAGAAGATGCTATCAAGGGCGTAGGAACCGGGGGGGACGGGTGGGACGTGTCCCCTCCAATATTGGACAAACGCGCATTTGTCCCCCCCAATAACATGGAGAAGAAAAAGATTGATTTTGAAATATTTGACTCGCGAGCTTTTATTTTGAAAGACACCGCGGACTTCTCTCCGACACAGCCCCTCCCCTCGAGTTACAGGCTGAGTGAAGCAAGAACCTTCTCGGAGTCGGAGCCAGGGCAGACACAGGTGTCAGAGAGACGGCAGCAGCTCAGCGAGTTCTTCTCATGGGCAAAAAAATAAAGAAAGGAATTGTGAGTTGGTAATAATTTAGTCCAAGAGTATAATTGTATTTCTGTTCAGACGCTAAAATGGCTGACTAGCGTAAACATCTTGCTAGTTAGCGTTAAACATTAAACAAAACTACTAGTCAACAAAAAATGGCGAATTTAACAGTAACAGACAAAAACCATTTGACACGAAATAAATAAAAAAAGTAGAATCTCCACATAAAAATGGAGTTTGTAAGTGTGATTGTTGCTTGTTTGTGACATTCTCATCACATTTCATTTTTAAACCTTATTCATGTCACTTTTTTCATATAAGAGACCAGAGGAAGTTCAGCAGGAAATGATGAAGAAGGTGAGACAGGCAGCGCCAGACCTGCTGAGGGTGAGACAGGGAGCACCAGACCTGCTGAGGTGCAGGTAGGTGCTACAGTGGAGTGAGATTTTAGATGGTTGATGATGAGAGGAAGATTCGAGCATGATAACAAGTGAGCACGACTAAATAATACTATAACAACCATGATTTTAATATTGCACTAGTCGTCCAACAGTGTTTTTACTCCTTATTCCTGGCCACTGTTTTTATATTAGAGATCAGATGAAGTTCAGCAGGAACCAGTTGAGGGTGAGACAGGGAGAGCCAGACCTGCTGAGAGTGAGACAGGGAGCACCAGACCTGCTGAGGTGCAGGTAGGTGCTACACTGAAGAATGAGATGGTTTTAGGTTACTGATAAGAGGAAGATTTGAATGTAATAATAAGTGAACACAGTTAAATATATGTAATTCCATAACAAGTAGGACTGGGCAGTACGGTTTAAGAATAAATTACATTCTGTATACACTCCCTTAGAAATATCAGAAAAATAAGTGTTAAACTCTGCTTTCTGGTGCATTTAGACTGCAATTTTGGCCACTGTTTGTTTCTTTTGTCCATCTGAAAATTAACGTAGTTCCAGCTGTTGTTGTAAGTGAATTATTTCTTTTTTCATTCTGTCAGAAACAAACAGATTTTTCAGATTGTTGGTCAGCATTGTTGGCTGATGTAGTTTAAAATATTCTGATGAGAGTCAGATCAATTCAGACTGAATATTCACAGCTTTAGTCTTGTATTAGATCTGTTTACACATCTCTACCCATAGGAATAAGATAATATATCCTACATTCATATTATTAAAATATATCCTACATTCATATTATTAAAATATATCCTACATTCATATTATTAAATAAAAATAAAACACTACTGACACATAAACAGCTTTTTTATAATTAAAACGTCCACGTTGGCCGGTAATCACCTGGATCCGGCTAATGGGGAGTAAGTAAGTAAAAGTTTATTTATAGAGCGCCTTTCACAGACATAAATCACAAAGCGCTGTACAACATGATAAAGATCAGGGCAAATAAAAAACATCAGGAAAACAATAGCAGTGTTAAACGTAGAAAATAAAATCATGAGTATAAACAAAGTGAAGGTGTGAACCCAAACAAAGCCATCTTTTTGAACATTTAGGGAGGGAACGCCTGGATGAAAAGGTGAGTTTTTAGATGATTTTTAAAGACCTCTACAGTGTTAGAGAGACAGAGATTTGAAGGTAGACTGTTCCAAAGTCTGGTTGCAATAGTCTGAAAGGCCCAGTCCCCTTTGGTTTTCAGTCTGGTTCGAGGAACAGCCAGGAGGTTTTCAGATGTGGATCTAAGGTTCTGTGAGGTGGTGTGTGGGGATAAAAGCTCAGATAGGTAGCTTGGAGCCTGGTTGTTAAGAGCTCTATAGGTCAGGACTAAAACTTTAAACTGTATTCTATATTGTACCGGGAGCCAGTGGAGGGACTGTAAAACTGGAGTGATGTGAGCTTGTCTGCTGGATTTGGTTAAGAGTCTGGCTGCTGCATTTTGGATGGCTTGAAGGCGTGAGAGGGAGGTTTTGCTGAGACCAGTAAAAAGAGCGTTACAGTAGTCTAAGCGTGATGACACAAAGGCATGGATGATTTTTTCCAGATCTGCAGTAGAAACCAGTTTACGGACTTTTGAAATGTTTCTCAGTTGACAGAAACAAGAGCGGGAGATGGTTTTGACGTGTGAGTCTAAACTTAAGGCTGGATCAAAAATAACTCCTAGGTTTCTAATGTTGGCCTTGGCTGATGGGCAAAAAGAGGCAATTTCTTGCTCGATTTTTGGCTGAAGTTCCGGGGGTGCAGCAATCAGGGTCTCTGTCTTGTTAGCATTGAGGACAAGAAAGTTGCTGGACAGCCAGTTACTGATCTGGGTCAGGCAGAGTACAAGTGTGGCCAGCCTGTCCAACTGGTGTGGCATAAAGGACATATAGAGCTGTATATCATCAGCGTAGATGTGGTAGGAGATGTCTGGGAAAGACTGAATGATGCCAGCAGGGGCGTCGGACTGGGGGGGGGGGGGGGGGGGGGGAGAAAGGGTACCGTTTACCCAGGGCCCACTGCAGGGAGGGGCCCTGAGACAGCTTTGAATAAAAATGTTTTATTGTTGTTGTTTTTTCCCCCCAACTTACTTAATGTCTTAATAAACTTCCCTTTACCTGGATAAAGAGGTTAAGAAACAGAATTTCGCCTTAAAAATAATAACTGAATAATCTCTGAGGCATCTATCACCCCTTAAAAATGTGCAAAGTGGTTTAGTCCACACCAGCGGCCAGGGGCTGCACGACCGCATGTACAGCTATGAGACATCGCAGATGCCGACAGCCAGAGCTGGAGGCATGAGAGTCAGTCATGTCTTTTCCCAAGAAAGGGAAATCTGGCTTCCAGAAAAGAAAAGAAGGAGAAGGAGGAAAAGTTAATTGAACAGAAGCAAGTAGAAGGACAGTGAGCAGCAGCAGCAGAACACAGTTTTAGCTGATATTAGCTAGCTCTCAGAAGCTGCATTCATGTTAGGTGTTCAGTGTTAAACGCCTTTAGTTTCACCATCAAGATCAAATATAAATTAATTAGTGTTATCAGTGATAACACTAATTAATTAATATATATATTAATCAGAATTATTATCGCGGGTGGCCGCCGCCAATTAATTCGCGGACCTCGCAGTAAAAACAGGTTCACTCTGTGTGGATATTTCAGCTCCTTCCCAGTCATGGACCAGGACAAACTTGGTATGGATGGATTCGTGGTAATCTCAGGAATGAGAAGCTGCCACTGCTTTTTGTATAGCATGATGACACTGGTGTTAGAGGATTGTTATTGACTTGGTTAGATATTTTAAGCCTATTTTTAATTTCTTTATATTTGATCTTGAAAACGGACAATCTTATAATTTGGCTGATAATGCAGGGATTATAAAATTTAGAGTACATTACATTCACAGAGAGAACCTGGTTTATTTCATGTCATATGTATTTAATATATCAATATATATCAGCAAAGCTTAACATCATGAACCATGACAGACATGACCGAAGAGCAGATGAAGATATCATGCCACTGATGAGAAAATATTACAAGGATCTCACAGCTGAATTTGAGAATGAGATGCTACACCTGAGAACAATATATGGTGCCACATTTCCACACATTCTGTCTCCTCTTGAGCTGCTTAATGCCATACAGGATGCAATTACAGAGCATATTTGGAGAAGTTTGTATTGGACTGAGGATTTTTTGCACACTACCTGTGACTCTTGTTGGGGGTGAACGGGCTTTTAGCAAACTGAAACTGGTGAAAAATTATTTGAGATCAACAATGTCCCAGGATAGACTGAACAGCCTAGCTCTTCTGTCTATTGAAAGCCAATTAGCCAAAGGATTGGACTTTAAAGATCTCATAAGTGATTTTGCTAACATGAAGACCCGTCAGTGGGCATTTACTGGAAAATAAATTCCAGGATTTTTGTTTGAACACATTGTTGGCAAATAAAAATAATTATGTGTGAAGTCTGGGCATTTCACTTTTATTATGCTGGCATTTGTATTTGCTCAATATAGAGGTTAAACTAAGATCATATTTATTATCTTGTCTTATAGCATGACAAAAAATGTGTAAGAGAGATATTAAGTAATTGAGCATGGGGGCCCACCTAGAAGACTTGTACCTAGGGCCCAGAATTTGGTGCTACGCCCCTGGATGCCAGCTAGGGGAAGAATATAGAATGCGAATAGTAGAGGCCCTAGAACTGAACCTTGTGGGACCCCGCATGTTAGAGAGGCAGTATCTGAAGAGAAGGTTTCGGACTTCACTGTGAATGTTCTGTTGGTGAGATAAGAAGAGAGCCAATCTAGAGCAGAACCTGAAATCCCAGCCAGGGCCTTTAACCTGTTTAGTAGAACGTTGTGGTCTACAGTGTCAAAAGGAGCCTAAGTCTCCTCCCCTTCTCCTGGCTCATGGGTCCCCGATCAAAAAAAAAAAAACAGAATGTTAGTGAACTGGGCTATAAAAGTTATTTTCTTGTCTTTCTGGGCTTTGCCTTACGCCCTGAGTCATATCTGTCAGACTTTTCTAATCCTAGAGTTTCACCGTCTATCAGATTTTCTATCAGAAGCTAATGCAGGAGATAGCGGCAGGAGACTTTGTTCAT